AAAAACCCACATTTATTCAAATATGATTGTTTCTGAGTCAGTTTTTTTTGTTGCAGAAGAGCGTCATTCCCTCTTGGGCGGTTGTTATGCAAGCAATAGCGATATCTCAACAAATTTATGTGAAATTGAGGATTCCGAATGTGAAACCGAACACAAACCACTGAATTACATAAGCGGAAGGGTGCATCAAACGGATGTCTGACAGCACGCTAACGGCCCCAAGAAAAAAGTGCGCTTCTTGGGATAGCACGATGTGTTCATCATCGAAACTACCGAAATGTAACCGTTGAAGGTTTTGTGATACTCCCCCGAACGGAACGAACAAGTTTCACTTAAACACGTTCCTAGTTATGGACCAATAGGGGGGCTGTTGGTAAAAGTGTAAAAAATCGTACTGAACTGTTCTCAGCTAATTACCAACACCTTCGTAAATCAATGGGAGGGGGTGCCAGTGTAGGTAAAATTAGCAGATGAATTCCTCAAAAGACTTTAAAGGGTCGATCAAGCGTCAAGCTTTTGGAAGTGCACATTTCTGCGAACAAAGTCACAGAGGATTTTACAGATTGAACTCATAGAAATGTGATACTCCTAGAAAATACTACATATTTTCGATGTGTTTTGTTACTGAACTTTTAGATATCAGAGTTTTATATGAGAGTCGTTTTCAGCGAATGATAAGTAATTTAAATCACTTAAAAATGTTATCAGTCTTTGCATATCACGCGATGGTCACAATAAGACAAACGCTCAGTATTGTTGCGCCACTGTCCAACCTTACTGGGCTTATTTAAATCGTCGTGTTTAATTACTTTTTTAATGTATTGAAAAAATCGAAAAATTACCTATTTTTGTAACAATTAATTAAGATTATTACCTCTAGGTTCTTACTTTTAAATGTTGTACCTCGTTTGAAATGATGCATTTACTTATGTGATCGATATCCCAATTATTTGCCACCGTTTCAAGAAATCGGTGCTTCTTGCTTGGGATAACTTTCTAGTAGATTAATTTTTAAAATTACCTCCTAACTGTTCAAAAATTAGTTCAATGTTAATTTCCACCATAATATTAGGGTTAAAAATGTGCCTATACGTATAAAACCTTAAGGACTGTGCTGTAAAACTAAGGCAGCTCGGTTTGAATCCTTGTACATTTTAAGTAGATAATAATTAACCGAAATTATGCAATTTAACTTGATTGTTTCTTAATCGGTTCTGCATAGATTTTTAGTTCACCTCCTGATCAGTGTTAAGTATTTATTTTTATAGAATAGCAAAATCTCGTTTGTTTTAGCCTCTCACAAAAATCAAACCTTTTTTTTCTTACCTTCCTTGGACGATTTTAAAGTTTACATTTGCCATTAAAGCACTGCTAAAAATAAGTGAAAAATCCGGTCAAAGTATGCCTAACAACTAAATCTCGATTATGTTTTTACATTAATTATTCTTAATGTATTTTTCGTTAATATTGATCTAATTGTCTCAAGACACATTGACTTTATATTTAATTGTAATTTTTATAATAAAAATTTCTAAAGAAACACCACGATAGTTTTCATTATTTAACCCAAAACGATAGTAGGTTTGCTGTTTTTAGCACATACATATGCAAACAAGTTTTTTCAAGTTCAAATGTAGCGGGGCTGAAAATTCGGCACCAACATTTTTTCGATCAAAATCGCTTCAGATTGAAAACGGCTGGAAATATCAAATATTTGGCAAGGATCTTTAAGAAAGAAAATTTTCAGAGCTGAAAGAGATTTTTGTATTATACGCAAAAGTTATGCTCTGCGTATGGAAACGCATTTTCATATTAATTTGGCTTTAGGACTAAGGAAAACTGGGATTTTTTTACAGGAACATTCTTTACTTAAAAAAACTACTCTCATTAAATAAGTATATTAACGTAGTAACAGAATCAATTCAATTTCTTAGCATCACTTGCCTGTATAATTACCAGAGGCTCGTCTAACTGATTATGTGGCATATCTCTGTGCTTGATGTAGGAGAGGAAAATGTTGTACAACATGGTAACCGCATTAATGTAAAACACTTGGTACTTTACAGGAACGAAGTAGAAGTTTATAAACTGCGTTGGAACCCACACACACCAATCCATCTAGAATAAGTATTTGAATAAATAAGAGAAGAATTTGGCATTGTTGCAGTATTACAAGACATACAAACACACAGAAATGGTGCTTTTGCACTTATAAAGTGAGCATTTTCAAATTGACGGAAGCAAATCCTACCATATAAACGTCCAAAAACTTTTTTTTAAGTTCTTCATTGATCTTCTCAATTGGTTTAAGTTCTAATGCGCCCATACTGTAGAAGAATGTTCCAATACAAATTGGGGACATCATAAATTGATCTAGGCCTATTTTGGTGAAAACTGTCTTGAAGTCCCGCTTTGGCATTACTTTGGCTATGTACAGATAATAGTAATGGTGTATGGGCCCCAGTCCTAGGCCTACAATGAACATGCGAACTGCAAAAACCATATGAGACGCTGGTTGATTGATTACATCGTTCAACTACTTGCCCATTCTCCCATAGTCGTATCTTTTGCTAAGTTTTCCTTGTCGAACCTCGATTTCTTGCTGGCAAATATCGCCTAGCCACATAAGAACCCCCGAACTCACAATGTTCGTATGTAGCAAATACTTGCCAAACACCAAGGAGGGAATGTTTCTAAAGGAGTTTTTTTTCGTGTTTGTCGTCGAGATATAACGAATTTGGGGAGCATTTCGAAGCACACACTGGGCACAGCGCCCAAATTTCATCAGGAACATCAGAGTTATTGATGATTTAACAACTACCTACATTTTAACCAGCAAGTTTTAGATTACAACGTAACCTCGACTTTCCTTCATATTGGGGATAATTTGGAGATTTACTTTATTGATATATACCTATAAATGAGTGTTAAATTGATTAAATATTGCGCAATCTTTGCTGGAAATTTTAAACTCACCTTCTGATTTGACTGGAGAATATCAGCTGATGTAAACAATAGGAAACAAACACAGAACAGGGGGGATATTTTATGGCAGCAAACACGAATATAATGAATCAAAAAACCTTCACAAATTTCACACAGGTTCAAAAAGGGTCCGATTTCATTTAATTGAATGAACAGAATTATTTGAAAAGGAAGCAAAATGTAAATAAACAAGTCGATTAGTCTGATTCAATTGACAATTTTGTGCCCCTTTGTCATCGCATCAACTCCAAGCATAAGAACGAGACAATAGATTATAATTAAATGTAAAGGGAAGAAATCTGGAGGACTGAACCTTGAAATCATTACAGATGTCAATTTGAGAAACAATAACAAACAAATTATTTGATCAAAAATTTGCCCTCAACAATTTCCAGAAGGTCAATACCAATTTTTGCATAAAATCGCCCTAAAGATGAAGTTCGTATTCAAGTTTAAAATTATTGCTGTATTCATTGCGCTTTTCCTATGCTTAGTTATGTTGATTTACTACCTTAAACTCCTGGAGAACAGTAATGTCGACATAAATAGCCCACTCTTTAAGAGAACTCAAATCAAGTCAAATAAAGCAATTCAAACTCATTTCTCGCCCAACATCACCGAAAGGATCGTGCACTTGGACCTGAAAGGAGCCCCTCCAAAGCTCTCATACTATTCCCAACTATTTCCATTGCTTCGCAAAATGGGGGCTACTGGGGTTTTAATGGGATACGAGGACATGTTCCCTTACAGCGGCACCCTTGAGAATATTTCCTCCCTTAACGCCTACACCCTGGCTGACGTGAAAGAGATCAACAATCTAGCTAAACAAAATAGGCTGAAAGTGGTGCCTTTTATACCACTGTTGGACAACATGGATTTCCTATTGAAGCTGGAAGAGTTTATTGACTATAGAGAGGTGCAAAATTTTCCGTCAGTTATTTGTCCCTCGTATAATAAAGCCCTAGAGCTCCTGGAGACCATAATAGACCAAGTGCTAGATGCACATTTGGAAAGCGAAATTATTCACGTTGGATGCAATGCGGTACCTCATCTGGGTAAGGTTCGGGATGACTATGCACGATTGGGCCAAAATGCATGACACAACAGGGACTTCGACATGGAAATCGACTGCATGTTGTGGGCATTCATTTACTAGGAGGAGAATACACGGAACGTTCCTTCGACTTTGCAGGACGATGCGATCGATGCAGCAATCGAATAATTACCCAAAAACTCAAAAAAAATCAGCTATTTTTGGGGCATATTCACGTCGTAACAGCGATGATTAAAAGAAAGCGGCCTTCCATACAGGTTTTGGTTTGGGACGATTTTTTCCGCACGGCAGACCCGAATGAAATCCCGGCAGACTCCGTTAATGCTTCCTTCCAACCAGTCGTCTGGTGGTATGGAAAGGACGTTTACGACGAATTGGGGCCCAGCTTGTGGAACTTGTATTCCCACATATTTCCTAATCTGTGGCTGGCAAGCGCCTATAAGGGGGCAATAGGTAATCTCCCCAATATTCTGAGCCTTTTAAATTTTAATCTATGGAAATACTCGCAGGTAGTTACAAGTACATATCTGATGCCAATCACTATATCCAAAACCACAAGAGCTGGCTCTCAATTATGGACGAGTACCACTCAAAGATTAATTTTCAAGGGATTATTTTAACCGGTATTAGTTTGTAATCATTTTCAGTATTTGAAATTATTAAACGGCAAATTTGCAGGTTGGCAACGATATGACCATTTCGCGGTTTTGTGCGAGCTTTTGCCCGTCGGAATTCCGGCGCTGGCTATGAGTTTGAGACTGCTGCAAGGCAAGCAAAATTGTCCAGAAAAACGGCTAAAATGCTCAGTTTTCCCCTTGTTTAGGATACCAGGACTCGGCTTTGGGGCCTCCTTTGGAGGTGGCCAAAATGCTACAGTGCGAACAGCCATATGGGCTGATGGGGACCGCGTTTGGCAGCCCAAAGTGCAAATTTCCTGGTCAAAACCACTTATACTCCTGGTTATGTTCAATAATGACTTTCATTTCCAGGCGGAGATATTTTAGAATACCTTAACCATTTCCACCAGCTGGATCAGGAGATCTCCGAGCTGTTGGAGGATCCGCAAGTAAAAGGGTGGCTAAGCGATTACAATACAGCCAGCAATTTCTCAAACCCGACAGTAGTGAAAGTCGCTCTGATATCGATCGATGAAATTAAGGCTGAACTGGAAGTGGTGAAAGAGCAAATTTCCCATTCAATGTTGAAAATCTACTATGCACACACGGTTCAAGAATGGCTGGCCACCTATTTGGAGCCTGTCGAGAAAAAGGTAAATCCTGCACTTGCAGCCCTTTGCACTAAAATCCAAAGAGCCCTTTGCAGGTTTTACACTTATGGGAAGCAAAGCACAGAATTTTGGAGAGGACTGTTTGGCCTCGAGGGCCATTAATCGACGCATTGTAGGATATTTTAGTTGTCAATTTTAGGACAAATTTTGTTATGTTTAATGCTCTTTCCTGTATTAAAAATCTGACCTTCAACAACACCCTACGTTATTTTCCCACGTCCGAAACTGAGGGCGGCAATTCAAGCCAAAAAAGCATTTTAGAGTTACGCCCTTCGACACGCTACGCCTTTGCAGTTGATTTGCTTTGCTGTAACGTTTCGGCTACAACCGCAGTGAAATTATCCAGCAATTTGTCTACTACTGTATTTAAATCGCACAATTTTGCAAAATCGCTCTTGTAACTGCAAAATCGTTCGCATCGGTAACACCGTGTCTGGGCCACAATTTAGCCCATCGCCCCTAAATTATCTTTTAATTTAATTTTATGAGTTACTAGCGAACCTTCATGGGCGGTCCGTGCCAGCAAAATTCATTAAAAAACTCAGAAGTTGCAAACCAATCAGGAAATGTGGAAATTATTTGAATTGAGGAATGCACATTTTGGGAAAAAATCGTGATTCTTCCTCGATAGCCCGATGTCCGATGCAGCATTATTCGATCTCTTCAACATAATTGTGCAAAGTGTGGGAATCTTGTGCTTCGGCCTTTCTTCAGTCACGATCTGGCCAGTCTTCGGTGATGCACCGCGCTCTATCTTCCATAAATATGTATAAATAGCGTGCCGTATGGATTTCAGTTTTTTGCCGGCTTTTCCTTAGGCTGCCATCAGGGGAATTTCAGTCAGTTGACTGAAAATTTGAGTTTTGTGCCATTTGGGATTCAAACAGACAGGTACGTATTGTTTGATTTCGATATAATAAGGGATTAAAGTTAACTTTTATAATTTTAGAAAATTCGAGAATTACGTGCTTTTTATGTAAATTTTTCCGCTTTTAGTCAATTAGGAAAGCAAGTGGCATCGATTCATTCTCAGACGTAGTAGAAATATAAATAACATTAACATAATCCGAGTTTAATAAACCATGTTAAACCGTTTAAACATCGCTCGGTAGCAGTGCCATAATTTATGAACTTCAGCTATGGAACGGATTTTAACGATTCGAAATTGATTAAAATTCTGACCACCCGGCGGTAAATCGGCCGTTAATATTATTAGATTCATTTATAATTAATTCACACAAAATAGCTGTAAATTGGAGAAGGAAGGCCTTAATACTTTGGATTTCCGACAAAATTCAACTTTTCTGCTTCGATAAACAGTGGCGTCGCGCCTCAGCGCATCAGACCTAGAAAAATTTTAAAATCCATCACGAATTCTAGTTCATAATTACTCAGTATAAATGAGACATTACCGAACGGGGCAGCTATAAAAGGACATCCTGTATATGTCGATTGGGCCGCAAAGAATCCGACCATCTGCCTATAAACCCTTTTATGCCAACCATAAACGAATAAGGGCATTTTTAGGCGCGTTAAAAATGTATTAATGGATCCGAATAAGGAAAAAGCCGGTTATAGATCAGGATAAGTGAAGAACAGCAAACTTAAATGCGCTATTAACAGGAAGAAAGCACTTATAGGCGATGTAAAGATGTCGGCACTTCGTCGCTAGTTAGTACCATCCGCTAGAGTAACTTACGGTCTCATTTAATAAATCACTCTGTATACTTGGAAGTTCCGAAGCAAAGAATAACATTAAAAAAAAACGTCCAAAATTCTTGTTAAACCTTGTGGAGGGGGCACCTCCTATCACTTTGCTCAATCTCTCCTCCTACTCAATTTACTCATTAAATTGTACCTAAAGTTTCAGTTTTGGTATGGAAAATTTAAACAGTACTCCATGACATGGGTCAGAAGGCCTCCCGAAGCGACCATTACTTCCAATCAACCTTTCTGGGAGCTAAAAAGCAGAACCAAAGACACCAGGAGCCGATCAAGTTCCAATACAAGACCACCAAGAAGAAGCCCGAAAGGCAACGGTTTGAGCAGTTCGGTTTCGGCACGTTCAGCCGCTTGAAAAGTGTCCTTAGTGGTGTTAAAAGTGCTGAACTGAAGACGCAGCCGAGCAAACCGGCAGAGATTCTCAAGAGCTCCAAAGATGCCTCCATAGGGAAGTTGATGAAGAATGAAGAGAGAAAGCGGAAGAGGCGCTTGAAGGAGGAGTCTTGGAAGCGAGTGCCGACGAGGACAAACAGCGAGCCCAATCTGAAGAGTGCGAGAGTGCGAGGACGGAGCAGGTCGAAGCAGCGCAAACATAATGCCCGGTTTGGGTATGATATTGAAAATGTTGATGAGTTTCTTTCAAAGGTAGGCAAAAGGGAATTTTCGAATATTTTAATTTTGATATTAAAAGTCTTCTCACATGGAGCTTTCCCTAAAGAAAATTGTAGGTCTAGCAGAAGATACTGTTTCCTTTGCTGAAAATGGTTAGGTGGCGGAGAAAGCATTTTGAATTTCTTCTTTAGGAATTTTACAACTTTTCGGTGCAAACATAACTAAGTAAATCTCTAAAATTTTTTCCTTTAAACCCCACCGCGACCATCATCAAATTTAATAGCAAAGATCTCATCTTTGGTTCTTTATGGGTTTCAAGAGACCTTCCGAGCCTCCTGGTCGGTTCAACGTCCAAAAATCCCTCGGGCCTGGTCAAGCCCAGAGAATTTGGCGACCTTCCAACCTCCGAAGATATAATTTCGTGATTAATAAGTATCGATAAGGAATTTCACAATAATTGCGGTTCGTGGGTGGGATATCAATATAGACCATTGGCAAAGGTCTGTTATTAAGCCCGTTCAACAGGTAGTATTTTGACCGGATAGTGGTAATTTAGTGCTGGTTTTCAGCATTCCGCGATGCCACGTATGGATGGGATCGCTATTCTTTGTTAATTAGGTTTAAGTGCGAGAAAATTACCATCTGCATAGGAGGCATTGTTAACTTTTTGTTGTTTAGGCCACTTTAAGCAGACCGGCCAATATACCGGTCGTTCTCGCTTTTCCCAGCGTGCTTTATCAGACGAGAATCGTCGGTTATCATTCGGAGGTTTCCTTGCCACTGGGGATGGTGGTTAATGCAATTTTCCGCAACCAAAACTGGCTGTATGTACAAACGCCGCATGCTGAAGAGGGATACGTTGCATATTCCTCTTGCTTACCTCTGGGTATGGAATCTACTATTGAAACTATGCATAGAACTGAATTTTGTTTATTTCCTGCAAGGCATCATTCCTCCCGCACAAGACGACAACTCATCCCCCTGCTGGGAGAAGTCGACCGATATATTCCCCAAGCCATCAGGGAACATGACCGACACTGAGAAAATGAGCTGCAAATCCGAAACTGAAGATGAATCCGATTTCTGCCCGAGAACGCGGTATCGAGCAGCCTTCAGCACTTGTGGGGAGAAAAGTGTGGATCGGCTCTACTTAAGAGCAGCGGCCATAGCCAAAGGTGCCACGCATTTAAAGCTCAGCAGGAAGTGTTGAATTTGATAATTTTTGCAGGAAGAGGCAGCAGACACACGCTCCTGGTTATTAATGAAGACTACAAAAGTGGGGGCGAAAAGACACTAAAAGTGGCGCGGAATGAAGTGGTGTTCCTGCTCGACGTCAGCACAAAGGGATGGTTCTACGTGAAGAACAAGGAAGGACTGGAAGGGTACATTCCTTCAGCAGTGGCTGGGCATGGATTTTTGTAATTTTGTGGCGAAATAATCGGCCTAGCAACAGCGGCAATTTCAATAAGAGCGGAGCCAATAGAAAACCAGAAGTATTTTAGCTAGTTTAAGAACTTCCTTCCTTTGGTCAATTTTAACCGACCTGCCCATGATTTGCACTCGTAATCTCATTAAAATATTGAATTATTGTTGGTTATTAACGTTAATATTAAAAAGGGTTTATACATCAGATGATTTTTATATGAAAATTCTTTCAGCGTTAGCATCTCTTGATTTTCTTTTACTGATAGTTTAAAAAAATATATATTCGTAAATCTGTACTTGCAGCTCACTGCCCACTTGTCCGCTTTAAAAACTAAACTAACAGCCATCTTTGCCCTTGCCCGAAGCAAAATTGAAATGTTTCGCTAAAAACAAAAGAGCCAAATTAACACAAAATTGCCCAATTGCCTCAAAATACATACGAACGACTCGATGGACAATCTCACATAATCAAAGACGAACAAGAATGAACTATTTATTAACAAAACTAATCTCTCCATCTGGTTGGTTGCCAACCATCCAAACCCAGAAAGTTCATTTGCTCGTCCCCACACAAAATCGCGTTAATCATAAAGACAAAAAAGGCAACGATACAGATACAAGATACTTTAAACCAAAATATTATGGAAAATCGCAAGTGGGAGTCAAGACCCGACTGGCTACAAGTAACGCCGCAATCTATTTCTGTTACTTTAAACATTCGCGCTGAAAAGCTGAGAAATATCGGTGTATTCAGATTTCGTTCGATTTCTGTTAAGTGTTGGTGAGTTTTCCAGCTGAGGTTGAGGAATTTTTGGTTTTCGATTGCTTCGACATGGGAAAAACTGCCGCTATTGGAATCGACTTGGGCACCACGTACTCCTGTGTTGGAGTGTGGCAGCATGGAAAGGTGGAGATAATTGCTAACGATCAGGGAAATCGGACTACTCCTAGTTATGTGGCCTTTACAGATACGGAAAGGCTTATTGGGGATGCGGCCAAAAGTCAAGTATGTACTTGTTTTAAATATGAATTTAATTTAATTAAATACTTGTGGATGATCGACGCAGGGGGCCGATCCCCTTATTCTTGAGTCATCGCCCGAATTTTTCATACCCATATTTGATCAGCCGATTTCTAATAAGTTTAACGACACCCAACAGCATCGTGTGATCATCCCACGGCCGATTTTCCGGTTTTTAATAAGCGCAAATTAATTACGAGAGTGTCTATTTTTACCTGCCGAAAAATGTGTTTTCGGACTTTTCCAAAAATCCATCAAACTGCCAAACTGAACGTGTGCCAAACGAACGGTTCGTTCGACAACTGCAGGAATTTTTCCAAGCTAATTATTCAACTCTATTAACTTTGTTTATCTACTACAACTTTGGTGGCCAAGCAGCAGCTTTTCGCGCAAAACTCACTGTCTATGGTGGCCTTTCACTTTTAAAGTGCAAACATTTCATGCGCTTTAAATATCGCAAACAGATGTTGGTTTTATTTATTTTGCCATGACGGACTCCACAAATGGCAGAAAATAATGCCAAGAATCCTGCCATTACTAAATAAGGTGCGGGTGTTGGGCAATTTGTGTGCCAATTGACGCAACTGAACATATTTTTGGTCAAGTAATCACATAAAGTCGGCTTTAAGCAGGGAATTTGAGAATTTTAAGCCACCAGTTAAATTCTCGTATGGGGAAATGCATGTAGAGTTGGAAGAGTCTGTGCAATAGATAGTGCAATAGAGTTTTCAGAACTAACTAAAAAAGTTTTTTTAGTTTTCTTATTAGGCATTGTTTCGAAATATCGCAATATTGCGATGCTCGATTAGGAAATTTGCGAACGATGAAGAAATAAATAAATCAGCCGCAAAATACCTAAATAGTTGCAGTTAAGGGAATTTTAAGCAAAAAATATATTTGTTTGGAAAAATTATTCACTTTGTGGCACAGAGGAAACCCAATAGTATTATRAATTTTCTAAAAAAGTGTTCGTTCYTWAAGGAATTTTGTTGGAAACTCTCGAGTCTTAATCTAAATCAAGAACGCATTTTTCGGTACTTTTTTTGACGATGATAATAAGCAACAATTCACGGAAATTTGCGTAAAATACGACCAAAGTCCCTTTGTTTTGCACAAAACTTTAGCTCTGCATATTCTACGATCCATAACACGCCCCCAGTTCAGACTAAACTAAAGTTTATAAATAACTGCATATAATTTTGGATGAAAACCGGTTCTTAAAAGGGACTGAAAAAGTTTAAGTTAGCAATATATTTGAGTATTAATGTATATACAGGGTGTCCCGTAAGCTCATGATCAAAAGGGTACTGCGATATTATTTGGACCAAAAGAAGACGATCTGACCTAACTTTTATTAACAAAAAATGTCTGGCTCCTCAGCTATTGATGGTCAAAGGTCTTCAAAAAATTTATCTTTTTTGAAATATCGGTAGAATGCTACGATGTATTTAGTGAAACTCGCTGTTAATTTATTCTTATGTAAGATTCATATTTTGATAAAACAATCGAGTTCCGCCTCAGATATTCTTTGAATCAAAAGAAGACGATCTGCCCTAACTTTTATTAACAAAAAATGTCTGGCTTCTCTGCTATTGATGCTTAAAGTTCTTCAAAAAAATGATCTCTTTTGAAATGTCGGGAGAATGGTAAGTACGATGTATTTTGGTGAAACTCGCTGTGAATTTGTTCTTATGTAAGACTCATATTATGATGAAACAATCGAGTTCAGCCGTTTTGGACAAGTGGTGAATTCTTGAGTGTCGTGGTACAAAAACGACCAGAACTTTTTAGGTGGAGGATGAAATCAACTCATTTTTTTTGGGTTGATGCACTAATTATTTATTCACAATTTTGTGTTCTTTGTAAAATCTTGTAGCATTCATAGTTTTTGCGAAAAAAAACTTTTTCATTGCCACTTAACAATGTTAGACATTAACTGCGAATATCGTGATACGAGGCATAAAATAATTTTCAATCAATCTCACAAATTCGTTTTGAATGATCTTTTATAATGAAGAAGTGACAGACATGGTCAAAGTATTAGGGTTTTGCGAAGACAAAGAGCACAAAATTGTGAACAAATGATTAGTGCATCAACCTAAAAAAAAATGAGTTGATTTGATTCTCCAACTAAAAAGTTCAAGTAGTTTTTGTACCACGACACTCAAGAATTTACCACTTGTCCAAAACGGCTGAACTCGATTGTTTCATCAAAATATGAGTCTTACATAAGAACAAATTCACAGCGAGTTTCACTAACATACATAGTATCATTCTCCCGATATTTCAGAAAAGAAAATTTTTTTGAAGAACTTTGACCATTAATAGCAGAAGAGCCAGACATTTTTTATTAATAAAAGTTAGGTCAGATCGTCTTCTTTTGGTCCAAAGAATATCGCAGTACCCTTTTGATCATGAGCTTACGGGACACCCTGTATTTACGCCATTAAAAAGCCATTTGATTCATGAGAACCTCTCTAAGATTTCGCAAAAAAGATCAAGCCTGAATGAATGAATCAAACTTTTGTGGTACCAAAAAGTCCTTAACGCTTGATTTGGAGGCCTAATTTTCCTAAATCCTCGATTTCTCTTGCAGCCAAACCGCTTCGTAAACTATCGATAAATCATCCGGGTTCATGAAGCTTAACAGATCCAAGTACTGAGTACTTACATAGTCACAATGTCCTCAAACATTCAATGGAAACTCCAGCAAACGTCCGACACATTCCAACTTAAAAATTCGCGTTTCCTTGTTAAAATCGCAACCCGCATCCGGAAAAATGCATCAACAGACAAAAGAAAACTTCCGATTTCCGAAAATATACGACTTTCCGATTGAAAACCGCGAAATTTTACGATTTTTGCAACTTTTTGCGGAACGAACTGTCCACCACCCTTCCAATCGATGACTATTCTGGGGTAGTTAAAAATGTTGTGTATAACTCAAAAATAGACCAAAATGAAAATAGTAGATAGAGAAATCGAAAAGTTTAAGGTAATTATCAAGAACACACTTTTGTAACTTGATAATTTTTTATAATTAGGTGGCAATGAATCCCAAAAACACGGTGTTCGACGCCAAACGCTTGATCGGGCGCAAGTTTGACGACGAAAAGATCCAGCAGGACATGAAGCACTGGTCCTTCACAGTGGTGAGTGATCTGGGAAAGCCGAAGATCCAAGTGGAGTACAAGGGCGAGGTGAAGAAGTTTGCTCCTGAAGAAATCAGCTCAATGGTTCTAACCAAAATGAAGGAAATTGCCGAAACTTTCCTAGGGGGAAAGGTAGGAAGCCGCCACCAGCAACCACCATAAGGAGAAATATTCAGAGTTTGTTACAACGCTTTGCATCCCTAGGTGGACGACGCAGTCATCACCGTCCCAGCTTACTTCAACGACTCGCAACGGCAAGCCACCAAAGACGCCGGAGTGATTGCAGGTTTGAACGTGCTTCGAATCATCAACGAACCAACTGCAGCCGCATTGGCCTACGGTCTGGACAAGAACCTGCAAGGCGAAAAGAACGTGCTGATTTTCGACTTGGGAGGCGGAACCTTCGATGTGTCCATCCTGGCTATTGATGAAGGTACTTTGAGTCAAATCTAAGCAAAGCGCAGCTAAATTTCTCCCCTAGGATCACTCTTCCAGGTGAAATCCACTGCCGGAGACACTCATCTAGGGGGCGAGGACTTTGATAATCGCCTGGTTAACTTCTTCGTGGAGGAGTTTAAGAGGAAGTTCAAAAAAGACCTCAGCTCGAACACCAGAGCCTTGAGGCGGCTTAGAACTGCATGTGAAAGGTTTGCGGGACTCCCCAGCGGGCACTTTGAGAGTCGACTAAATTGAAATCGTTCAGGGCAAAGAGGACGTTGTCTTCTTCCACAGAAGCCAGCCTGGAGATTGACGCTCTTCATGACGGTGTTGATTTCTACTCAAAAATCACCAGGGCCCGATTTGAGGAGCTTTGCATGGATTTATTCAGATCCACGTTGCTGCCGGTGGAGAAATCCCTAACTGATGCCAAGCTGGACAAAGGCGCTATTCACGATGTTGTTCTAGTTGGTGAGCGTGCGCTGGCTGGAGGAAGCAGTGCAAAATCAACTAGTTGTCTCTTAGGTGGCTCAACCAGAATCCCCAAGGTGCAGAAGATGCTCCAGGACTTCTTCTGCGGGAAAACTCTGAACCTCAGCATCAATCCAGACGAAGCTGTGGCTTATGGGGCGGCAGTTCAGGCAGCCATTCTGAGCGGCGATACTTCCTCCAAGATCCAGGACGTGCTATTGGTTGATGTGGCTCCTTTGTCACTGGGCATTGAAACAGCCGGAGGAGTGATGACGAAGTTGGTGGAGCGAAACTCCCGGATTCCTTGCAAGCAGCAACAAACCTTCACGACTTATTCGGATAATCAAAATGCCGTCACTATTCAGGTGGGCCTTTGATTTAGCCAGACTTTTCCAGGACCAAGAGATGTGTTTCAGGTGTATGAAGGCGAACGGACCATGACAAAGGACAACAACTTGCTGGGTACCTTCAACCTGACTGGAATTCCTCCAGCGCCTAGAGGAGTGCCCAAAATTGAAGTCACCTTTGACTTGGATGCTAATGGCACGTGAGCTTTTATTTATTTGGGGAATGTGCTCACGCGTCAGCTTGTAGGAATTTTGAACGTTTCGGCCAAAGACTCCAGCACTGGTCGGTCGGAGAAAATCACCATCACCAACGACAAGGGGCGTCTGTCCAAGGCGGAAATCGACAAGATGTTGGCTGATGCCGAAAAGTACGCGGCTGAAGACGACAAGCAGAAGCTCAAAATCACTGCTAGGAACCAACTGGAAGGCTACATCTTCAGCGCCAAACAGGTTTGATTCCTATCGCAAAAAAATGGCAAAGTGGTGAGCTTTGATTTCTTCAGGCTGTGGAAAACGCGTCCTCCGACAAGCTGACTGAAGACGACAAGAAGCTGGTGCAGGACAAAACATCTGCAGCTCTTCAATGGTTGGACAGCAACCAGTTGGCCGAGAAAGATGAGTTCGATGATAAGCTCAAAGAGTTGCAACGAGACTGTCAACCGGTGATGATGAAGCTTCATCAAGGAGGCGCAGCTGGACAGGGAGGCCCCAAAGTAGAAGAAGTTGACTAGGAGGCCCATATATAATTTTTTGCAGCTCTTTTGCATTCAATAAACACACGTATAAGCTATGCAAATGGGGTTTTTTAATCCTTTGTTGTGTTGTGCACCCTTTAACCCGAATTAAAATTCATTTATTTCAGGAGCATTCAAGTAGGTTCTTATCGGGTTAGTTGTTTTTGGTGGCAATGAACGCGATTAGCAAGCAACTGTTTTATGAAAAAGTGTCCAGCGGAGTGAAATGTCGAAATATCCATTCTTGGAACCAAAATTGCACCAAGAGCCAAATCTGGTTTGTGTCCACGGTTTTTGTGGGGAGTCTGAAGTTTTTTTTGCCAATTTATATCGTAAGTAAATAGAACAACTCGTCGATCGAGCAGTTCTCAACCATCTGAAATATTGCGTATTGCGGATTTTGCTTCCAAACCTTCCCCTTTAAATTGTCAGGTCAAAGCTATAATAAATAGCAGAAGGTTCAAAGAGAAGAATTTTTGGCTGCAGCTCGTCCTAGGCCAAATTAGATCCAGCATCTATGGGACTTTGATGGGAAGCTTGTTTTTAGCCGGCAACTGTTTACTATGGCAAGCCAAACTAATCTGCTTATTTTCTGTACTTAAACCCTGTTTTTTTCAAAGCAATCTGACTGGGAGGCTCCACTACTACAACGTCTCGATCGTGGCTGGCATGTTTTCTGGACTGTCCCTGCTAGTGGAAACCAAAGAAAACCAAACGCTGGACACTTTGATTTTTTTTAATCTGGTAAATTGCCAGCCTCAACTCCCGAGTAACCGATGTAATGTTTGCTCGATATAATTTCAGCTGGTTGAGGCGTTTTTCCGAAATTTTGTAAATTTCAATTTGCCTATCTTAACAACTGGACAAGAAACTCTGCTCTTTATGGCCGTCAGCAGTTTGCTGATGTTCCTCCTGCAGAGCGACCAAACGAAAAAAAAATTAACTAATTTTTGGCAAGTCTGCTCTAAAGTCTCCAACTTTACACCCAATAAATTGCGGCATTTTAGGTTTTATACGCCACCTAAATTCTCAAGAAAAGAAAACCTGGACCACAATTGTGTGCATGAAGGCTTCTGTGCAGACTTCGCCCTCCAAGTATGCGGCAAACGTTAATTTAACGTGGGCCTTATTGGAATTTTCCTTCATTTAAGGGCATTCAGAAATATTTCCTTTTGGGGTACGGGTTTGGCGTCGTGAGGAAACTCATCCCCTCTATGCTAAGGGTGATTCGAAATCCCCTGGCTCTGCTTCCCATTGCGTTCAACAAAGACAATGTAAAATTTGGGGCGTTTATTAGCGCCTATGTGGGAGTGCACAGGGTGAGTCTCTGGTGAGGGAGTTTCTTAGTGTCGTTTATGAAGTATTTTACCTGTCTGCTGCTCAAAAGCAACGGTGTGGATCAGAAATACTTCGGCGCCTTAGCTGGGCTTTTAGCTGGCGCTACTTACTCAATCAGTCCAAACTTGCAAGTTTTAACAGTGGGGATTACAACAGTTCTTCAGGTAGGTGTTCAGAGGAGTTGCAGATTTTCGGTCAAACATAACTTTCCTTTGAAGATTCTTTACCACCGGCTGTTGAAGAAGTTGCAAGTGAAAAACCGGCTACTTCCTCAGCAGCTCGTCTACATGCTGTCCCACTGTCTACTCCTGCACAATGTCATGATGTGCAAAGAAACCTGCCCAACATACTACGTGAATATGCTAAATAATGCCACAAATAATCTGTAAGTAGTGAATAATAAAAAAATCAGGTTCCTTATTTGGGATATTGCAGGTTTCCACAGGTCTACGACGAAGTCATCGGCAAATATTTCCCAAGCTGAAACAGCGCGGCTGATAATTAAAATCAATATATGCGTTTTATTGAGTTGAGGGTTCAAGGATTCTCCAAGTTTCTTTTAGGAAAACATGGTGTTGAAACGAAAAGTGTTGAAACGACTTATCTACTTTTCACAGCTTTTGTCCGGAAGCTTGTTGGTGCTGGACAAAATGCAGCAAAATCTCCTCTTAAATCACCGCCTTATTTAATCTGAATAAAAAATAGTGTTGCGCGGGTTTTTAAGGTAGGCATGGGTAACTCAGCCAATTTTCAGGAGTTGGCACTGCGCCAACCCATCTCACCGGCACAGTAACTCACAGGTGCGCTGCAGTCACCCATTTGGTAAAATGTTGCTCCTAAAAATTTGGTAACCTATTTTGTTAGGTGTTAAAATGCCATCCCCAAGTCTCGTAAAGCTGTAATCCACCCTTGCGTTAACGGAAAAGTCAGAAAGGAAAAATACTCTTCACGTACAGAGTTGAGCGATGCGTTCAGTAAAGAAGAGTGCGCTCTAAATGTCGTCAAAATTTCTTGAAACTTTTAAAAATTCATTCAAATCACATGAACTCCTGAATTTAGTGCACTTTGTAAATGCTGATTTGAATGTGAACGCTTTTGCGCAATTGCATACTGTTGTAAAGCCAGTAGAAACCTGAAAGATTGATATTCTGTTGAAGACTTTTTTCAATAATTTTTTTGGCGTAAACTTGAACCGAAATGTCTGATATTCAAATTTCGTGTGACTGTTTGCGACAAATCCACGCAGAATTTACTCACGCAAGTTGTTATAACGGAATCGAATTACCAATTCTCTATCCAATGATATAAAAATGAACTCTGGGGTTCAAATGTTCTTGAGCACCGTCAAGAAATGCGGCGTTATGTTTCAGTCGATTTCGCAATTTAAAAAAAAACAAGCAGAACTAAAACTCTTAAGTTTTTTGTAGGAAAAACATTAAACTGGAACCTATATTTGCATATCTCAATCGGTTCTTTGGAGATAAGCTTCAGATGAGCTTCATGTAAAAACACAAAGGCGCCCAAAATATTCTCAAAGTTTAAAAAGTTCTTGTGAAGGAATCAATGGTTTAATCGGAACCAGACCACACTATCTGTAAGCCGATGCTTCTTGTATTGAATTATGGAACCCAAATTTCTATATATGAGGCGGTTCTTGAGGGAAAAGCTACACATGAGCATGATATAAAAATGTGAAGCAGCTCAAAATATTCCCAAAGTTTACAAATTAAGTACGAAAGAACCAATAGCCCAGTCGATACCAAATCCACCCTACGAGTCGGTTGATGAATAAGGTACTGAAAGTTATACACTACAATGAATCCATGAAAGTTGTTGTCTGAAAACCAAACTCAGTTCAAGCTGAGCTCAGGCTAGATTAGAGGTAATTCTTACCAGCTTTCTGCAAGCTGGCGCTCCATCCTCAATTTTCTACAGAGTTCTATAGAAAACGCTCCAAGCGCCGATCTATTGCTAACTTCATTTTAAATTAGAGACATGTATATTTGCCTAAATTTCACTCAGCTGCAGTGATTAATGCACAACGCCAAACCTAAAATTAATAACCGAATAAAAAATATTACAGCGCGAATACCAACTATTTAGTATTCTGTTGCCTTTTAGTAATCAAAAGTAGTTCAATTAAGTTGCATGATTTTTTTTTGTGAAGTTCTCATGCACCGTTTCTAATTTTTCAGGTAAATAAAGACCTTCAACAGAGAATCAACGATGTTGAAAAACAGTAAAAAATATATTTTATTAACAAATACGTAATTCTACGGTAGTACACGATTATAAAACTTAACTAGGCACGGAAAATGAAACCGAATGCAAAAACAATTTACAAATACGTGACTTTGGATCAGAAAGTGAATGGTAATGATGATGGTCATGCGGCATGTTTAAAGCATAATCGAATACTGGCACATTAAACGTTTGGGTTTCAAGCAAAATTCCGTTTCATCTGAACTGAAGAACTGTGCTGAATTGATGGTTGCTCCACTTATAAAACCGTCTGCTATTCTAAGAATATTTACAGTTGCAAATGCATAATTTTACACTGCTGAAACCACGCTTTTCTGCAGTAGGTTGGCCTGAAATAAGTTAACGGCTTAAACTAGCTTAGTTTTTTGGTTTTCCTTTGCTGGGGATCGGAATGGCGCCAGGAGGAAGATTGCTGAAATTGTGCTGGTTTCGCGGGTTATTCTGGGGGATGTTTTCCTGAAGATCGTCCTCTTGAACTGGAGGCGGAAGGGTGCTGGGCACGTCGCAGTCTTCAGTTGGAGGAACCACGCACCTACAGAAGCAAAACCCGCTAGTTCTGCAAACTTCGAAATCTTCCAGAAACTCACCTGAGAGAACGCCGATCAAACACCAACATAGCAGGACACCTTTGAAGCCTCGGGTACCCGCCTTGGCACTGCCAGTATCGGTTGCAGGATTTTCCCAAAGGAACGTTTCCATTAGGATCATCATTGCACAGAGCTGAAAAAAATCCCTTAGAAAAACTGCCCAGTAAAACCCAGCAGGAGAACATACGATGCTTCTGGCAACCGTCTACATTCTCGGGCCAATCGCAAGAATGGGTTCTTTCGTTGTAGAGAAGCCCACCAATGCACAATTGTTCAGTGGCGGTTCCGTTCCAGCAGGTCCAGTAGCGGGTGCAGGAGGTTTCATGCCCGAAAATCCCGTAAAGCCAGTCGCAGTGATCGGTTCCAATTGGAGGATCTAGAGCAGGATAATGTTCAAAGAAAGATGCTTTTGATGGTGCCTCAAACGGCTGTTCAGAAACGAGTCTCAGATGAGCAGCCAAAATAAAGAACCGTGCAAAATATTTCCAAAGTTCAAAAATTAGGGCTGAAAGCTATTGCAGATTTAATATTACCAAATTTACACCACGAATAAACCGAAGCTTTCCCTATCGACTACTAGTGTCCATAGTCTGATTTTTTGAATGATTGACTGTTCAGAAATGTTGTGAATAAGATGGCGCAAAAATTAAAAATCCTCCAAAATTATTCCAAACTTTAACAATTGTTTTTACCGGAACGGGGCAATGAAATGAAGTGAAACTTATACCAGATATGACACGAAGTTTTTCGTATCGACTACTCGTATCCACATTCGAATGTCCTGATCCTTCCTAAAATACCTGCTCTGAGGCGAGTTTTAGATGAGCAGCGTACCAAAATAAAAAATGCTGTAAAACATTCCGAAGTTTAAAAAATAATTATGCAGGCAACAGCAAATCAAATCCTTCCAAATTAACGACGCAAATAAACCGAAGCTTCTTCTTCCGACTTTGCTGGTGCCAAATTCTGAGTCTTTAAATGGCCATTCAAATACTAGGTTGAGAAGTGTAGGATACAAAAATAAAAAACCGCCCAAATTCTTCCCAAATTTCAAGTACAATTTTTGAAAGAACGAGTACAAGAAATGCCAACAAAATCATAGCAGAAGTTATGTGAAGCTTTCCCCATTAAGTGCTGGTATCCACATTCTCATGCCACTAACATCTATTAAGAAACGAGCTTCAGATGCACGGCAAGCCAAATTAAAAAACTACCCACAATTTTACCAAAATTTAAAAATTAACTACGCGGGCAGCCACCACTCCAATCTTACTAAATTTGCGACAAAAAATAAACCGAATCTTCCTCTTTCGGCCACTATTGTCCATATTCTGAGGCTCTAAATGAGTATTCAGAAACTAGCTCGAGAGGTGCACGATGCAAAAATGAAATACCTCCCAAAATCTTCCTAAATTTCCAGAATAATTCCTGAAGAAACAAGCAGTTGATAGAGGAAAATTTTCATACAAGTTACGCGATGCTTCCGCTATCGATTACGTTTAGACATTCTGAAATGAGCTTCAGATGCGCAGCATGTCGATGTCTCTAATGGCGGTTTATAAACCATCTTCAGAAGATCACAATGCAAAAATGAAAAACTTCATAAGATATTATCAAAGTTCAAAAATTTACTATGATTAAACAACCGAGTAGCAAAAACGTTATAAATAACACAATTTTTTTCGAATAGTCAAAGGCATTTGACTCGGTATCGCAAACAAAAATACCTACAATTATTGTCTCAAAAACATAGTCACATTCTTAGCGATGCCAGTTGGATCCAATTTCATTTACAACATACATAAACTCATGAAATAAATTAAAGAAAGCAGGTGGTTTTCCATAATATATGCAGATGATACAGCCGTGACCTCTTCGGTTATAACTTAAAAGTGAAATGGAAAAAATATATAAAATTCACTTACTGGCCTGTTGTTTGCCGTCGCAATAATTGGATCTCCATGGATAGTCGCATCCTTCAGTAACTCCGCGATTTTTGCCTGCAAACACCAAACCGTTGGGACAGTCGTAGAGCTCTGGCTGTCCGTTTACACATTCCCAGTATCTGAGGTAAAAAAATGAGTTTTTGCAAATTCAAAAATCCTCACCCTTACCTGTCGCAGTAGGTGATATCTGAAATTACTCTAGCTTTGATTTGGCAGGGATCGTCTTGGTTTCCCTTCAACTGCTGACAGTTTACAAGACCTGGAAGAATTTATAAGTTATTTATAAAATTAGCTGACTTTTCAAGCAAAGAAATGACATAAAAAAGTGGTCAGATGGTGTCTTTACTTTTAAGCGTTTCTTTAGACCTTTAAGCTTCGGTAGACTCTTTAATTGGGCAATGAAGAATATCACCTTAGATTCTTATGAAGGTACGGAAGGGACATACGGAGGAGGACATTGCTCGTGCGAAAGTTTAAGATTTATATTTAAATTCCGGTTGTAATCTACAAATTTCCAGCTCAAATGCTCAGTTTTCGATATAAAGTGAAATTCTTGGTCTCTAAAGCGCTAATTTTATGCGTTTCAAATGAAACCCGAACGTTTAAGGCTGGAATTATGTAGGAAAGTGGGAGTGTTTACCTCAAAGTTGAAATATTCAGTTCAAAAACAAAATCATAAAAATGAAGTTAAAAATTTGCATTTAGCAAAGTCGGAAATTGGAAGATCGCAAAAGTTTGAATCAAATAAATCTTCAATTTCAACGAATTCCGAAAGTTTTGTTCAAATGGCATCAAACGACTAAATGTAGATTCAAATTTGAATCTCGATTTCGTTCCATTCATTCTTGTATTCGTGATCATTTTTTTGGCCGCTGAGGAACAATTATTTATTACCGGATTTAGTAAATGATCCTTTTACTAAAACCCCGGATTTGAATAAATTCTGCAAATCAAACAGGTAGTATGGCCTTAACCTTTCGAGTCGTCGTGATTTGGATCAACTTGAAACAGCAAAACTCTCATGGGAATTAGCAAAATGAAGAAGTGGAACCTTGAGATTCTTCAAAAACATGCTTGTAACTTGAAGACTGGTAATTAATTTTAAAACCAACTGACTTATAAATCTTTGTGTAGATGGACGTGCTGCAGTTAGTTAATTTTAGCAGAATTTCCTTCAGAAGCAATTAAAACGCGAACACACCAGTTTTAGCCTTAACATGCTTCTGCAGTTGAGCAACCATGGGAAAATCTGACTTTGTTGTTACCTAACTATACGGAAAAAAAGTGTTAACGATGTAGCCAAAATTCGCTGTCATTGAGCAACAAAAGTGACCATTGTTCGTTGCCATTCACGATGTTTGCAAGCCAGCGGGAGAATCCACACATGAGGAACGATGTCTTTGCTCTTGTACATCATCAATGCGATTTTAGAAAGTGGATCACCACACCAGTCGTAACCCTGAACTTTCGCCTATTTGATGGATTTATTCTCAATAAACGAAAATTACGAGCATCATAAAATCAACAGGTTCCTTTCAGTAATTGATTTTTATCAAAAATTGATTGAATCCAATTGCAAGCTGGTCCTGTTTTGGTTCATCGTCGAACTTTTGCTCATTCAGTTGATTCTTTTTCAGTTCGTTCTGCTGCATTTAACGTGAAATATTGAATGCTTCGAGAACCAACCACTTGGTAGGTTTCACAGGAAGCTGACTAAAGTATGGGTTTTGCGGTCAATTTGCTGCATTTATCTGCAAGTGGAGTCAAAGTTGAAAGTGAGAGCCCAATTATATAACCAGCAACCAGACAAGAGCACGAAAATGGAAATTTGCTGCTACAGGGCGATGCCCAGAAGTTTACATTTAGTCTTAGTCTCAACTAAAACACTCTCTCTTCGCGTCTGGTCCACGTAGAGCCCATCCGCATTGCCAGTGCGTATAATTCGGCCATTAACGAATTCTTACATAAAGATTGCATAATTATGCATTATCGACAAACCATTAAACCGGGCAGCATCTTGAAGAGAAATAAAACGATCTTTAGCTGTGCATGCACTTTCTCTGCCGCACTTTCTACTCACTACTTGTGCTTGAAACGACTTGGGATGGTCTAGTTTTTGAGATTGGATCGAATAGAAGCAATTGTTTGAAACAGTTGGCGTTCTTCTCTCATTTCTGTTGTTCTAATTGCAAATGCATGCCAGTCCCTTTTAATATAAGCAATTAGAACTTTCAGTGCATTGGTGTATGTTGCATAAGATCCAACCAACTACCGACTTGGGTAGACAATTTAGGTTGAATTAGACTTGTTGATTTGTCTAAGACCAGCTCCTTTCTTGACTCATTCAACTCGTTGATCAACTCAACGATTTACATATCTATTTATATAACTTGAGCCCATCCTTCTCGTCTTTCACACACACACACACACACATCCATCATTGTGTTATATGATAATGTGCGCTTATACAACCGTTTGCTTTGCAAGAAGCAATAAAATGGCTGTTTTCACACACTTTCGATTTTTCACATATAATTGCTAATAACAAGAACAGCAAACGATAGAAATTGGTTTTGGGAAAATTAGCATTCGCATTTCGAGCAAATCGTCCACTTTCTACGCGAAATGTTGACGGAATTATGAACACATTATAAGAAGCTGATGGATTTTGAGAAGCGCTTTAGCGAGCTGAATGATTCTTTTTTTGCATTTTCAATGTTTCAGTCAACTGTTCGTATTGATTTCAAATGGTTTTCTTAAGCTGAACTGCTCAACAGAATTAACGTTACCCAGCCAAATTTTCCCTAACTTTAGAACTGGCTAAATTCTGATTCTTTGAACCGAAAAGTTTGTTTGTTTGAAGCGTTATTGAGCCCATTTATTTTTTTGATTGTCAGTGTGGTGGTAAAAATTAAGAACCGCAGATAAAAGATAAATTTTCTACAGTGCGGCAATGCCAAAATGCTAAATTTTGCAAAGTTCGGCATGCTCTTAGCTGAACAGAAATTGCGATAACTTTTCTGCTCTTGGACCAATTTGGAGCTCATCGTATAGCTTAAACTTTATAGAAATTTTGAGGCAAATATCGATATAAAAAAAGTTAAATCCCCCGAAATCTGTAATTCTGGAAGATTTTCAACGAAGCGAAGTTTACTTTCACAAATTTTGCTCATTCATGCAATCCACTGTATTAATTTTTCCAGTCAAATCGACTGTGAGCTAAAAAAGGATCACTACAAGACCAAAAACTTAATTTAACTTCTGCGAGAAGAACGTAAGAAGTTTTAGTATAAGTAAGATATTTAGTATATTAAGTAAGAAGTTAACGTGTTTTCTAGGAGTGTGTAAATTTCACAGTGCTCCTTGCTTGAGTTTGGGAATCAGAAATTAAAATTAAAATTAAAAAAATCAGTTATTTAAGAGGTAGATGCATACATTTTTAGAAAAATTTTAAACCAACATTTAGAAAGATCCCAAAAATCCACATTTGTTGCTATTTAAATGAACTTTTCCAGTTTTTTAGATCTTAATGTTTGCTATGGAGCATGTAAATTTCAAGTTACCACTCGCGCATCATTGGGAGTTATAAATTTTTTAGCTGAGAGGACAGTTGCGTGAACACGAAAGATTTTAGATACAACATTTACAAAGATGTAAAAAATTATGACCTGCTGGGATGTTATCCAAATTTTCAGAGTTTCTAGGCGCAAATGTTCGTTACAGAGTGTGATAATTTCACGTCGCTACTTCAGCTAGATCAGCAAATAAATTTTTTTTCTGAGAGGCCGAAGTTGAGTAAATTCGAAAAATTTTCAACCGACATTTGGAAAAAACGCAAAAATTAGCATCTCATGCTATTTAAACGAAACTTTTGTAGGTTTTCGATACGCATATGCTTTCTGTACAGTGTGCAACTTTCAAGTTGCTACTCGCTTTCGATCGTGAGTTAGTTATTTTTCACTGAGAGGCCGAAGTTGCGAGAATGTGAAAAACTTTAGAACAACATTTGGAAAGATCGTAAAAATCAGCATCCGATGCGATTTAAATGACATTTTCGCAGTTTTTATATAGAAATGTTTTCTATGGAGTGGGTAAATTAATTTCAAGTGGCTACTAGTTCTCAGTCGCGAGTTAGACATTTTTATCTGATAGACTGCACTTGCGTAAAATCGAAAAATTTTAGACCAACATTTAGAAATGTCCACAAAATCAGTACCTGCTGGGATATTAATAAATGTTTTACACTTTCAAAACCAAGCATTTTCTAGGGAGTGTGAGTTTCACGCGCTAATCATTGGGAGTTAGAAATTTTCATCTCTGAGGCCGCAGGTGCGTGAAAACATGAATTTTTAGACCATCATTTGGAAAGATTGCAAAATCAGCATCTGATTTAAATAAAACTTTCAGAGGTTTTGAGAGAGAAGACAAGTCGATTTATTTTTAAATAAAATAATATTAACATATTTGCACAACAAAGCCGCTAACTGTATTTAAAAAAATCAATTAATAGGCCAACAACGATGTCTTTATGTACGGAGCAATGAAGTCTTTATGTACGTGATTTGGATAACAATGTGCATTCTAACAGTGTATTTACCGAACTCATGTAGATACAAATGGGGCAACGAATGCAATTTGGAAGGCTTAGAAAAAACTGCTTGGACTATGCAAACGTGATTTGGAGAGTGTAACATTCACATCTTTTCAGCCAGCAGGCTGTGGGAAATGGGTTAATAAAGACTCAGAGATTGATCAAAGTGCATTTGAGTACAAAATGCTTAAAACTGCCAGTTTCTCAAAATTTGCATTGTTTCAGTTAACGAATGAAGACAATATAAAATCGTAAAACTTGTCCAGTTTCATTTCATACATCGCATTCGTTTCCCAAAACTCAAAATGTGAGAACAACACTGTAAACTAAAGAAGAATTTCAAGGTTTCCAAATACATTTTCTACAATTATCTTTAGCAGATTTATTGCGGTAATTCGACCGCAATACCAGTAATCTGCAACAAACCATGCATGCATACCAGCCACCATCTAAATAGCAACAATTAGTTTTGCTAATCCAGCGGTTGACTACCGGCAATGCAAAAAACGACCATTACCCTAATTAAACGCGACTTTTACGGATAAGCGACCAATGCAACGGTACCCATATGGGTACCAGGAGATTTAGAAAAGTCGCTGATTAGGTAATCCCGCCGGGTACCGTGTGCTGCTGATCAAGATAGAAACCAATGAGTGCTTAGGGGTTTCTAATAATAGTTTTGCCATAAAAAGCTCAACATACAGGCAACACAGTTTCTTTTTTGGTAATAAGTACTTACCAAAAAATGCCATTAAGGCAACTCCACCAATAGCACGCCTCATTATGTTTCAGTGTCACCCGGTATACACGGTAGCAACTGTTTGGACACCCGGTTCAGTAGGAACTGAAGCAATATCGAAACGAATTTGTCTTTTTCTCCGCAACTATCCTCGATGGGTTCTTGCCTTCTTGGTATGAAAGTGGTGAAGAGAAGTGTTCTGCCACCACCACCCAAATACCCGGTCTGATCGAAAAGTGCTTGATAACGCTCCTTCAAAGCTGACCAGCATCGACTAGACGAACTGCAGTAGTAAAATAGAGCTTTGCTTTATATTCTTCAAATTAGTTACTTTGAATTGTCCGAGCAATTGAGTAATTCGAAAAATTCCTGTGTATTTGTTTTCATTACTTTTCTGTCGTCCTTTGCACCTGCGTGTCTTTGAATACTAATTATTAATTGTTTGGTGTTTTGCAATAAATTAATTAACCTTTGTTTTTATGGAGAATAGTCGAGAAATTCCTCAGTGGTTAAATCTTCTAGGAAAAATTCCTGTCGGTGTTGAGTAACAACGGAAAACGTCATTAAGTATTGTGGTGGGGTTTTTGGAAAAAATGCAAATAAATTCACGGGGAGCTCTATGGATGAAAATCCCATTGAAAACGGTTTTGCTTACAGCTTCTTATGGGAAGTAAAAGCATGGATTTTCATACCAAAATTTGTTAATTTTAACATCAATATTTACCAAGCTGGCAGGGCTGAGGGTTCTGCGAATTTTTTATTAAACGCCGTAAAACGTTAGAGTCAACTCTTTGTTAAAGATGATGCAAATTTCAGCTTCATATGTGTTTTTGTTGGGAAGATGGGGATTTTTAAAGGAGAGAGCGCAGTTTAATGAAAACTGCCATTTTGACACAGATTTTTACTAAACTGGCAAAAATCACGATTGAGGGCAAATTTTATAAAACTTTCAGCATCTTTCGGCTCAATTGTTCGCCAAAGATGGTTAAAATTTCAGGTGGCTGCTTTTTTCAGTTCGGAAGATACGAATTTTTACAATGGAGAGCACAGTTGAAGTTGAAATTGAAATTGCCATTTTGACACCGATTTTTACTAAACGGACAAAAATCGGAATTAGTGGAAATTTTGATGAAACTTTCGGAATCTTTAGAGACAACCATTTTCGAAAGATTGTAAAAATTGCAAATATCCACATGTTTTAGTATGGAAGATACAAATTTTTAAAAGCGAACTCGCAGTTTAGTAGCAGCAATCGTTATCAGGCCGATAATTTGGACACCCACATTTACCAGGCTCAAAAAATTGCCAGCGATTTGCATAAAACTTGTACCACCTTTAGAGCCAAGTATCGTCTAAATACGCTGAAAATGTTAAATTCCTACTGGCCTTAGTATGAAATATGGGAATTTTTAAAGTGGGGTTGGGTGCAGTTGGGTAAATACAGTAATTTTGAGACCGATATTTGCCAAGCCGGTAGAAGTTTGAATTTTGAGTAATTTACATAAAACGTTTAGCATCTATAAAATCAAATGTCTTCTGAATCTGGTGAAAATTTCAAAAGCGGAGTCTGGGTTAAAAACATCTATTTTATGACCAAAATTTTTGCTAAATCCTCCATACTTATCAAGAAGCTTGAAAGTGAAAGTAAATGCGGGGGATTTTTATTAAAAACTATATTTATCCCTTACGTGTTTTACGCTCGAATTCCGAGTTTAAATATGCATTTTCGTGAAGTTTCTTAATGCGAAAAACCCCGATTATTTTTTATGCAGCCAATGCTAAGTTAATGGCCATAATCGCTAAGTTTCTTAATCTAATAATGCTTAATTATGATAATTGTTATGAGTTTATTTAGTTGGTTTAGAACAATGCGGGACCTCGTTTTCATTCTCAGGGTGCAATGAAATGGCAATGGCCTTTAATGCTTTGCAAATTTTTGAGAATCTGGGTCAACTGTTTTTTCATTCATTTTTTTTTCTGATTTGTTGACTTTTTATGATTTACTTGATTTATTCACTGTTTTGTTGATAACTTTCTTATTCTCAACATTTGTCTTTTTCAGCTTTTTCTGGCAGCAGCTTGTTTCGTATTTGCGTAATTCCTGATCCAGATAATTGACTGGTTTTTTAACCATCTTCGTGCAACTCAGGTATTAAAATGTTCTGCCCATGTTTTATGCAAGAAAATGTAAATTCCATTCCAGAATCAAACAAAGAATTACTATTTTTTTTATCAGTGATTGAATTATTCAGCTGGCGTTTAAGCCTTGAATATTTCGCGAATATGTTAACGTCCGCGATTATTACGAAAAAAAAAATTGTCGCTCCGCCATTATTTAAACAACAAATTGTTGCAGCGCATTCACAGTTAATTGTTTAGTGCAATTTTGAGTCAATGTTTCGAAAGGAAAATTTTCAAAAAACTTGGAAAAATTGCGCATCTTAAAACAAAAATTTTCCTTTTATGCAGTTCAGCCTTTAAAAGATCGAAGTCGTTTTCGCCCTTTGCAATCCTCCCTTTGGATTGCATGTTGCCACGTTGATCTTAAAATCTTTAAGGGGACCTTTTGGATCAGAGAAGCTACCTGTTGCTTTCAGTGTGAACATTCTTTAAACCATAATTGCCTTAATTTATTTATTACAATTCTTTGATTATTAGCTGTTTTGAATTTAGATTTAATTTCATTTTATTCCTTCTGAATTTCCGCACAGAAAAATATGTAAAACGTCTAATTGGATGCACAGAATTGTCGTAAAACTGCTGTTTTGAGTATTTTGAGAGAAGATTGTTGAAGTAATTGTTCTTCAAGGTTTCTACGTGCGTTTATTTGAAATGGACGGATAACCAGCATTCATAAATCGTCCTAAGCAATAACCATATGCAAATGATGACTTCCGTTGGATAACGATCGCGTCCTGATCGGACAAAAATGGACCTAAAGTCCCGTAAAGAGGATCGAGGACAGATCCTGATGCGGCAACAATGCTTCCTGTCCCAATCGACCCAACGTTCCGGAGATACGAATCGGCAGCAGCATCAGAATTGGATCCATCTCTCATCAGTTCTATCCAATCACCATCACTATAGCAGTGAGTTTTTCCGTCTAGCATTGATCGTGTTGTCTCGTAAAAACTGCGTGCCGAGTAGCTAAAACTTAATCGTTCCTGTTCCCCAAGCTAAATTGGTGACATTAGAAATAATCGTTCGAAAGGTCGCGGGCATGTTTATTTTGCACATCAGTCGCTAGACATCTGTCCAGGACAGTTTTTTTCCTCGCGGACAAAGTGGGGGAGTGAATCGCGAGTTTAGTGAGGAAATTGAACGGAATTGCCCGGTTGTTGCTGCTCTGATCAGGTAACTCTCAAATCGAATTAGGAGATTTTTTTCCGGAAAAATGACGTTTTATGAATGAAAAATCAGCTAAAAGTCATTTTTGCGCCAACAAAAAAATTACTCAATGAGGATTTTTTAAAACTTGCAGCAAATTGATTGGAAATTGGAAAGACTGACTGAAAATGGCCGAAGTGGCAGGAACCGAAACCCAACTAGAGGAAAAAGTCGCGATCCCAAGCGCCCAAGTCCAGCAACAAAGTACAGGTAAGACCCCAAAAGGTCCCCCTTTTTATTCAACCAGCCGGCAATGCAACCAACCTAGTAACCTATTTATTGCTAATAATCACCAGCACCTTGAGAGGTGATATTTTTTAAATAAATTAGTGATAAGATTATTGTGATATGACTTAAACATGCGCGCCTATTTAAAATGTTGTCACTTGTCTCAGCCCACATTTATTAGCGTGTTTACCTGTTTAAATACTGTTTTTTCCTTATACATATTGAACATGATAAATCTATTTTTAGGAATTATTACACACTTATATAATGCGGTTTGATACTTGAATAGGTATTCAATCAGAGATAAAAGCATTGGAAAATATGTCAATCAAAGCTACCTGATTGATTGAGTTTCACCGTCAATTTCCAGGGATGGATAGCTTTTGAGGAAGAAAATGGTGCAGACAGTCTGGTCCCTTTCTGAGGCTTAAAAGCGCGCCCAAAATGAGCAGCGTTTCCATGGAAATGCGGTTTGTTTATACGGCTTGCCAATTCAACTGGCAAAAGGACTAGATTGATTGCACCAAAAAAACTTGCTCTCGCTCAACTGAACAATTATTTGTTAACCGTTTAATTTAGAAGATAATTTGCATGTGATGATGGCAATATTGTTATGACTCAATTCCATGACATCATTTGTTTAAATGTAGCACTATTTCGGTTGCAGAAATTCAGCTCCTGCAAAAATCTACGATCATTATTGATAATTGTTAGACACAGTTGAAATGGCAATTAACCTTAATGGTTTATTGGACTAATGGGAAAATTGCCAAACCCACGTGCATCGGAACTCTATCAAGCTGCAAAAAGGTGTTTTTTTTTCTTTAATATTGATATACAGACAAAGACTTGTTGATTGGCTTCCAAACGAACCGTCTGCGGTCTACAAAAGACGTTCTAAGTCTAATTCTAATTCGATTGTGAGCTACTTTTGATTTTTGGCAGGTAAATCGTTGTTTTCACACCAGCTCCATTCACAATATCGCTGAGTCACTGGTCCAATTTTAGGTGTTTGAATATAGGCCAAAAGTTCGTTTTATTTCCTATATGGGAAATGGCGTGTCATTGATCACTCCTTATGTTCAAAACGTTGAGATCATCAAGACAGTGAGCCGGCCCATTAAAAAGTGATGATCAAAGACGCTCCCCTACATCATTATCGAATTTAGTCTAAGTACTACATCAAACCTACGATTGTTTCATAGAGGTTTTCGACATTAATTTGGCCACACCTACATCATAGACGAACGGCTACTTACTTAAATTGGTTAGACCTATTTCGGGCTTCCAATTTTCAAAGTATGGCAACCCAATAAAAGCAAAAGGGCTCCTGGTGTTGAAAAGAACCAGCTGCTTTTGAGACCGAATATTGCTTTATTTTTTTAAGTATTTAAATCCCTATTAGCGGATTTGAATTGAGTGTATTAGGTTAAAACTTACTTAAGTTTTTAAGGTGTTTTCCCCAGTTTTCACCGTAACATATCGTCGACTAAATTTATCTTAAATCCGCGATAGGCAATACCGCCTAAAGAAACGGCGCTGCTATTTACATAAGCTGATGGGCCTAAAGCAGGCGAATGCCATTCGATTTGGGGACTATTTATGGATAAATAATAAAACCCTGATTGGCTGGGCACGCATATGGCCCTAAAACTAGGCCCTGCACAATTGGGTGGCCTCAATACAAGCTGTTCAAGTAAATTTTCAGTATTTAAATCGTATGCTTTCAACCGGCTCAAGTATTTAAACAACTGCTACAAGTTTTCTCGTTTGCCTTAGTTGGTAAGAGCAAAGAACGATTGAGGAAACTTAGGAACAACTCACTTCCAGCGTCAATTTTCGATCAGTTTTACCAATTCCTCTTTTGTGAAAGTACATGCTTGGGTTTCCTTGGGTTCGTTCTTGTTAGATGGTTTTAGCTGGCAAAAGCCACCACTTTAAAAGGGCAGACTTCTGCATGGGGGATTTTCAAGATAAATCCAGTTGCTCTGGGTGTCTTCAACTGAGTTAACTGGCAAACATCCTTTGCAGCCTAAACCCAGTTGTTCCTTTTGGTTATGGACTCGCAACGTTATACAAGACAACTTAAATATTCTGCGTCCGTAACCAGACCGAACAAGCTGACGCAAACTAGCGTGATTCAAGCTTCTACAGATGCTTCCAATTGACGCAACTCTAAAGGTCCCGTTTTCTACCAAACATGTGTGATTGAAAATGAAAATGTCTCAAAATTTGTTTTATGCCGCTTTTATCAACGTTTCAGCCTCAAACGTTCACATTTTGTGAAAATGTTTCCGCTTGACGCAATTCTAAAACTCGCGTTTCTACAAAAAATGTGTTATTGAAAATACACATGTTTCAAAATTCGTTTTGTGCCGCTTTAGCCAACATTTCAACCTCGAACGATTAAATTGTTTTGGGGAGCTCCTTTCACTTTGGCCGCCCGAGTTTTAACAGCTGCATTTAATAATCTCGTCTTCCTGCTAGTTTCATTTGAAGAAAACGTCCCAAATTTGGTCACTCTGTTGGCGACCATCCTGTATATTCCCGTTGGAATATCGATCCCTGGTAGAGGGCACTAGAGTGGAAACGATAGAGCTTTTCCGACCGTCTGTAGTTTTTCAGTCGATTTTCCGCTCACCTTCGTGACTCTAGTGTTTGTAACCCGAGGTAACAGGTAACCAAATCAGTAGTTACAACGTTTCGTTTTCCATTGTGTTTGGTCACTTTTTTGGTAATTAGAGCTTTTATCAGTAGTTTGATTTTGTGAAATTTGTAGCTGATTTTGAGGAAAGTTGTTCGAGTGCATCTCGAGAATGGGAAAAGTCACACCGTTCAGTTACCGGATGGCTTTCTTCAAATTTGAAGACCCGAAATTGGATGTTTTGTTCGGGATTTTGAAGGGGATCCAATATCCCCGAAGTAATATGTTAAAAAATAGTCAAAAGTATTGATTTGCTCAAGAAAAGCTCTCGATTTGTTATTTTATAAAAGGCGCATTTAGACAAACTTTTTATTCTTTTTAAACATTTTAGATTTCGAACTCAAAAAGCTTCACATGGAGAACGTCCACGCCATTCAGTTTCTGGATGACTTTCTTCAAATTTTAAGACCCAAAACTGGGTGTTTTCTCGGTACCAAAAGCATTAATTTGTTCAAGATAAGCTATCGATTTTTTGTGTAAAAGGAGCATTTAGACAAACTTTTTATCATTTCGAAACATTTTAGATTTCGAACTCAAAGAGCGAAGTCGTAAAACTGAGAGTTTTCTACGAGACCCAGTTAACTACAAAACTCCCTTTCGCCTCACAAAGTTTCGAACACAAATACGGAAAATGTGTCTTTCCGATATTTTTCTTCCTAACTTTGTCTAACTTTTACAAACCACTCTTTAACTTGACCATTCAAATTTGTTCCCTTATTCTCAGTCTTACTACAACTATAGCAATTTCCGTGTATTTCGCTTTCTTTGTGTGTTTTCCACCAAGTTCGTCTAATAAACACTTTATTTTCCAAACTGGCACACTTTATTGGGCATTTGTTTTGGCCTGCGGGCTCAGTAAATCTTCAAATTTAACTAGATTGGACGTGCGGGATAAATAAAGCTAATTTGCGTTTATTTGCTGAAAGAAACCGCCCAATTTATGTGGGCTCCGGAAGAGTTAAAAGCCCATTAAACATCAGTTATGATTTATTTATCAAATGTAATTTTTAAAATGCTCAATTTGGCTAAAGATGAAGATACTAATCTTAATGAAGCAATTTCATTACTTACCGGTCTAATTTTGGAAGAAACTAGTCGACTATTGATCATAAGACTAGGAATTATTTCCGTAAAAAATTTCGGGGATTTCCTGCTTTCTTGGCTTGGCTAATAATTTTTTTAAATCGCTGTTGTTCCTAGTCCAGGAACACTTCAAGGAAATTGAGCGCTCGACTAATTTTTCCAGGAAATCGTTACGTTTACAGGCCTCATAATGTCCAACTGGGTCAGTAATGTCCATAAAGAACAACTGGCCTTTTATTTGCCTCCTCTACCGAATCAATATTTGCGTAGAATCCTGCTACTAATTCATAATGGGCTAAAATTAGAACACTAGGTGTGTACCTGAAGGGAAATTGATTTTCCTTTTTAGAAAATTCATGGGTTTCCTGCAAAGGTTAATGAATTGTAGTAGAATTTTTTATTCAAAGATCCAAACTAGATAATTCTTGTCGTTTTTGGCACCTCGTTATCGGAAACAACTTGACAAAAATGTATTTCACACAAAACTGGCTCATGCATGTGTCATATTGTAACTGGAAAATATTGCCGCTCTAGTTAGTTGCTCGGCACGCAACTACAGTCGCAAATATGTCTAAAAGGGATTAATTAAATGAAAATCCCCATACTTACAAAGCATATTCATAAAGCCCTTAACGTGAAACCAGTAGTTTTAATGTGTTTCTTTAGTTTTTTTTTGTAAATGCCCGCTTCAGTTCTCACCTCCTACAGCTTGGTTGTTCATTATTGTACCTTGTGGTAAAGTAACTTTAATTAGGCGGGTTGAAATTTGTCGTCACCATAGAAAGCACCTCGAGCCTCAAAGGCCGAAAGTTTGATAATAAAACCTGGTGTTTTTCCAGTCACTTTTCAATATGGCCCAACAAACTGTAACTAATGGTCCTGCAATAGATGGTAGCCATCTTAAAACAGGCCTTACCAATCCAGCGACGGTAAGATCATGACTTTATTTCGCTCTAAGCACCAGTTTGGATATTTGATCGTTTGCTTTGGTACCAATCTGTGTCGTTTGCAAGTTTGCATATATGCGCATTCGTGCCGTAGGTATTTTAAATGTGGAATATCCGAATTGGATGTAAATTGCCTTAGACGAATGGAGGCGACAGCAAACGTTATGGAAATTAGTGTCTATCAATTAATTTTCTTAAGTGTTTGAGCGCAATATCGAACGCCGATCTGAAGTAGAGTTCAAGTGGCTGTTTTCCCATATAAAAAAAGCGTTGCTTAATGCTTTATCAGCTAGTCTGCCTGGATTATCAATCACTTGGGCAGCTTTATTGTTTTCTCAGCCCCTTTTATTTTTCCATCGGTTTTTCCATATTACTACAAAAATTCCGCCCATTCTCACATTTACACCCGTTTAATCGACTTCGAATACGCAGCCACGTAACAGCCCTACATTTGTGCGATGACCTCCATCAACCTCAATACCTTCAAAGCATTAGGAGAGTCACGCAAAACAGATAAAATTACATGCCATTTAAAAGTGTACAGGGGGTTGATATTACTTTGCCTCGTCCCTTAGATCATTTATTTTAAACAATAATTGTGGAAAATGATAAATACTGAGGTTGTTTAAAAATGCGATCTTCTGAGTTTAGTCTACCAAAGCGAATAAAATGCATCGGCAGCGAGAAGTGAATATCTCTATTTCCCCAGAGACGTGTTATCAGACCTTAAAAGCCGAGCCTGGGCCGAAAATGAGCCGCGGCAAATATCTGTGATGTTTCGTCAAAATCGCGACAAAAAATGGATCGTCTGTTGGTGTTTTGACAAAAGATCAAATTAATTTGTTAATGAAGACGAAAAATGTAATATCTTTCAACCCCACAACTTTCGCCCTGTAGCACTTTTTTCAATTTTTCAAAGGACAAAGTTGATATCTGGATTGGACGGCCTGGCCTTATCCCATGGCCCCCTCATAGCCCCAACTTAAGGCTTCCTGATTCTGGAGTTATTTGAGTTATTCTCTGGAGTTATTTGAGGAATATTGTACATGAAAGCCCAAGTTGAATCTAGTAATTGGGACACTTTTTACAGTAGAAAATAATTTTTTAATGCACCCCCGCCAGACTTCCATTTATCCATAAACCGTTCAGGTATCAACGGAAATCCTTTTTCCACTTTTCGCCATTTCTCGAAATAAATAATCTAAGGGGAGTCAACTTATGAGCAAACACTCTGTACGTCTATGGAAGGATAAATTATGGAAATTCTCCCTCAGCAGCCGGGCAATTTACCCTCTGAACCAGTAGCGCAGCCCCAACCAGGCCCTTTTCTGGTACGATCCCCCTTGAATCGCTCAGACAGTCGGCAAAATTTCCAATATCGGCCCCCTATTCCTGCTGGCAGCGGGCCCCAGTCGATCAACCCATCTGGGCCTTTTCCCTCAAGCAACCAGTACATTGCGTCTAGTCCTCAGCAGGCGCGCCCTTTTGCTAGATCGCCGGTTCCCTCGCAGCCTTTTGTGCAAAGGGGGCCCCCTTTAGGACCTGGAGGAACTGGCCCGAGATTGCCCCAAGCAAATCCGGTTAGTAGTTAAAAGCCGCAAAAGGGGCTCCCCAGCTAAACACCCCGCATTTCCATTAGGGAAATTATCCTGCTCAAAATCAGCAGCCAAGGCCGGTGTTCAGGCCTCAAACTCCTTTTCCGAGATCGCCTTTGCTAGCGCAAAGGCCGCAAATCTTTCAGCAAAGTTCGGTGCCAGCTTTCCAGAGGCCCAGGCCTACGTTGGAAGACTCCCTGAATAGGTAAAGAGTAGCCAGGCAGTTCCGGGGTGAAACTTGGAAGGGTTTGCGTGATTCCAGGTCGCAAACTCTGGATTCTGCAGAGTTGGACAGTCAGAGGTATGTTGAGGGCGATCGCGTTCCTGCGGCAGATCAGAGGCCGCCCTCCGCCGCCTCGCTGGGGCGGAGCTTCAGTGTGAGCTCCTCAAATCCTACACTGGAAAGGAAACTCACAGGGAGCCAGGAAGCGATTGCGGTTTCCAGACAAAGCTCCTTGGAAAACGTCAGCACCAAGGAGGAGAATGTGCCACCCAAACCTGAGTCCCGGCCGGGGTCCAGGATGGGAAAAATCTCAGAAAGTGAGGGCAAAACTGAGGTGATTCGTGCCGCGGAAACTCGAGGTTAATATCGCCAGGTTTTCCGTTAAACTAGTGTTGGTTGCATTGTACCTAGACCTAAGTTTAAAACCCAGCTGGCAGGTTTAATCGGATTCTTCCCTAGGAGAAGTTACAAATGGAGACACCCCCAAATCCCCCAAAAGAGAATCCCCAGTTCAGGTTGTTAATAATCCTCCGCCCAAGCAGGAGGAGCCGAAGCAGGAGGAGCAGAAAAAACCCGAACTGGATTTGAATCTCAAGTCGAAGAGTACGTTGACTTTGTGCTTCCAGCATTTGCAGCTTCGCATTTGTTTTTTGTGCTTCGTTTCAGTTCATTTTTCCCCACAAAAAATGTGTGGATTTTCACTGGTAATTTTTGTTGCAGAGGGCGACAATGACAGTGGTGTAGACGAATCAACCCAAGGAAATGTAAGTTCAATCTTGAGGCGATTTGCCTGCGAATGAGACATCAATGCTTTTTTGGGGCTCAAATAGGATCAATCCTGCAATGGAGATTCGCGATCGCCAAGAAAACCCAGCAAATCCCGAACGTCTTCAACAACCCCCACCAAAGGCCGATCGCTATCCAGAGGCTCCAAAACCCCCTCCAGCCTGCAGTCGCCCGATTCAGCCGCCACCACTCCTGGATCGACTGAAAAGAAAAGTACTACCTGCAAAGTGTACATTTTTTTCAACTGGATGAAACTCCTGTGTGTTTTTTCAGAAGTTCCTATGAATAAGATCCAGGTGGGGTCGGCGCCGTCTCCTAACTTGAAAGTGGTCAAGTCCAAAATAGGGTCCCTAGACAATGCGCACTACAAGCCAGGAGGAGGCAAAGTGAAAATCGAGAGCAAGAAGTTGGACTTTAAGAAGGCGGCACCGAGAATCGAGGCTAAGAATGATAAGTACGTGCCCAAAGTTGGGGAAAAAAAGGTAAGTGGACTGGACAAACCCAGAAAGTTGTTAACATGCGTTGCCCATTAGGAGGTTCAATCGGCCAGAATCGAGCGAACCGCTCCGGCCACATCAAGAGTAAGAATGCTGTTTCCTATTATATAGACACTCACCCAAAAGTCGAATTATTCTAGTTTTCATCAGTAGTTAGGTTGGAGTTTGTGGAGCACCAAGTCCATTCAAATACATTTAAATCTCTTTTGAAACTTTCATGGGGCTTGATTAATATTTTTTTCAGGAACTCTGTTCGGCTCGAAGTGCTCAGGGCAGCACTTCTTCAAGAAAAGTAAGACGTTTACGAACAATTCATAGTGTAAAATACGCACACTCCAGTATATGTTGTCAGAAAGAGCCTTTTGAGTGCATCTGTGTAGGCCAAGTGTATTTGTTTAAAACATCACAAAGCCCTTGCTAGCCAAATGACACCGTTTGACAATGGTGCGGATAAGTTTATACATGCCAGCGCCATGTAGTTTCAAAGTGACTGATCCAACGGACCAATGACGGCGCTTCAAATAACTCGTTGCCCCTGGAAACGGAAACACTGTGCAAGTGGCATAGTTTATCCGCACCATATTCATCCTATGTTGATTTTTCTAGTTGCTAGCTGGGAGCCAAGTAAACCAGTATTGTAAACCCATCAATTTACACGTTGATTTAGAAGTTTTAACGTTGCTACTAGCACCAACATGTAGGAAAAACTTGCAGTATTTTGGAAAAAATGCCCAAGTTTGCGCTGAGTTTTATCAAATGTGTCGTTTTACAGATAATCACTCAAAAACTGGAATGGAACGCCAAATCCAAGATCGGTTCTCTGGAAAACGCCGCCCATAAGCCGAAAGGCGGCGACAAAAAAATCGAATCAGTCAAATTAAACTTCAAAGACAAGGCGGCTCCTAAAGTAGGCTCCAAAGACAACATCAAGCACCAGCCGGGAGGCGGCGATGTCAAGGTAGGTGACTTCCGGGCGAACTAAAGTTGCCTTTAACGTTTGTTTTTGTTCAAAGAACTCTGGAAAACGCACAGAGTCTAATTTGCGATCAAATTGTGTAAGTAGGCAGCTTATTATTGTTTCACTTGGGGCCTTGGCCTTTGTATATATTCACCCAGTATTCGTTACATTTTCTAGCTTTACTTCTGTACACATATAAAAAATGTGGTGTGTTGCTTACACTTTCACTGTCGCTCACTGTTGTGTCCTGTTATTAAATCACATTTTACAAAAAAAAGATTGTTAATTAAAAACGCTGAAGTAATTGCGGTTTTCCCTGAAGGAAAGTCCTGCCCAGCTATTGATCGGTAGGGCCCCAACCTGATTGCCGCCTTGTGGCGCAATTTAATTTAGCAAATTGCCAATCTATTTAATCAAACCTCCAAAGGCAGGAACGTAAATTGCAAAAATCCATCGCACGTTTTTCTGTCTTAGATTGAAAGCAAGAAAATCGAAGTGAACGTGACCAGCAAAGTGGGATCTCTGGACAATGTGAAGCACAAGCCAGCTGGAGGCGAGAAGAAAATCTTCGACGATAAGGAATATTTGAAGCAGCGCAAGTCTGATAAGTCCAGCTTGGAGCATTCTTTGTCTGGATCACAGGTAAGAATGGGGGAATATTCGATATATTTTCTCAGTTTCTGAGGTTGGGATTCAGAAACACGTCCTTGCTTGGCTGATGAGGATATTTGAAGCAACCAATCAAAGGAGATAAAATCTGAGTCAGCCAAGAAAATGACCATCTTTGCTTGACTAATTCCTTTTGAGTCACCTTGTTTTCAGTCAGAATTCTTCGTTAATCTCAAAACTCATACTTTGCCTTGTTTTTTTTAGGAAGCAGGATCTGTTTATTCATTCTATTAATTCGCAAATCACTCTTGATCGATCAGGTATTTTTGCTAGAAATTTTTGAACGTTCATGTTTAACTAGGAAATTAACTTTTGGTGTTAAAACTAACAAGTAACAAAAAAGCGGTATTTAGAGGGAACGTCGTCGCAATTGTACCAGGTTTGCATGACAGTAGTCCTAATTTGTATCGATTTCGATTTTTAAACCAGTCCACTAACTTTATTTAGGGCATAAAGGCACGCGATGTTTTTTCGATACTTTCGAAGGTTCTTCAACGTACCAAGATCAGTCTTATTTATTGGGGCAGAGACAGAAAATGGGTCAAACCATTATCAAGCTTTATCCTATGAATAAACAGCCACGTGGTTTCTTAGCAAAAATCGTTGCCAGCCCATTTTCACTAACAACTTAGCAGCCAGCGAAAAACTGAATTAACCAGCACGTTTGAAGTATACAATAATAAACTAACACATTTATTTTTTGCTGTAGCATTCGATCCATTCACAAGAATCGAGAGCACCAGTAGCAGACGAAAATCTTAATCAGGAGCACTAAATGCAGCCCAAACAATTTTTGTGATTCACTTTCGATTATCAATAATTTGCCTGTAGTTTGGCGGAACTTCCCAATCAACATTGAAGCGATGAGTCTACAGTTGCTGTAGATTCGTAGCCGAAGCTGTAGTGGGATTCTCTATATATGTAGCTAGCAAAGAAATACTAATATTTTTTAAAGCAACTGTAATTTTTGAGTAAAACGACGCAACTTTGTCACTTAGTCAGTTGGGATTGTGTCGAAATATCAGCTGTGAATCCAGTAATAATTGCTAAGTATTGTAGTAATCGATGTTAGCATAGATTTTAGCCATGTAAGACACTCAGCAATTTTCTTTGACACCCATTTCTGATGCGAATCAGGAAGCACTTTAGTAACGATAATTTTTGTAATTTTAAGTATCAGCACTGATCACTTTCGTGGAACGTTGGAGCCCAATTTTTTGGTTTGAATTGTGTAAATTTTCGAGGAGAGATGTACAGGGCCAACAAAGTGACTGACAAATTTTAAAAATTGGGTCCTATCCAGGTTTTTCCCATTTAATTAAGTTTAAGTGCACGAGACCAGGACGAAGTCAAACAGGGTTTTAGATTCCAAAAATGCCCCAGGGGCTACGCCCCTAAGCTTCGAAATGTTATTAATTTGAGCATTTTTTCACCTTCCAAGTAGTGCATGTAACATGCCATATCCTAATTTAGTTGGGTAATTGTACTTTTAACACCCTTACACAGTTTAGAAGCGTTTTGTTATGTATCTTACTAGGGTATGGAGGAAATATATAATTTATTAAATTATTTCTAGTAGTTTTGATTGGAGCACAACAACGGAAACTTGATTTGGAAGATGCGAGGGTTGGTTCAGAGGCCTTCTAATTAGGGTGTAATTGTTTTTAGTTCGGTTTGGGTTTTTCTTTTAGGAAGACTTTTTCCATTAAAAATGCGAAATTTCCAGCAGATTTTGTTATTTTTGAAAATAGTACCTTATTAATGTGGGCGGTTGAATAGTCTATTCGAGCTTCCATTATCCTCCAGAAATGTTTTGATCACAACGATTCGGCTGGTAGTAAGTACATATATCCTTTAATTTTCAGTTTTTGATGGAAAAAGGCGGAAAAAACATTTTGCTAAGACAATGGAAGTCCGAATAAACGATTCAACCGCAACTTTGCCTACTACCCTTAAACAACTCCTAGAAAATATTTTAATAAAAGCTCAATTCCTATATTAATAAACCAATATAAAGGTATTTTTAGACTGAACTTGTGTAACAACCAAACAAAATGTTTCTTTCCTATGAAAATTATTCTCGGTAGGTGCAAAAGGCCGTGCAGGCCACTGAGGATCAGTCAGGTTTTGACGAGGAAATTCTGGATTTTCGCACCACTTTGGACACGAGCAGACGAATCCTGGATACTCTTAACGAAGAAGAGATATGCGAGTTCAACAACAGGATGTTTCGTGCTGGATCTGTGCGAAGAAGCCTGCAGGAAAAACCGCGCTGGAGATTTTAAACAACGTTTCTTCATGCACTTGCACTACTATAATTTTTGTATTAAGTCACATAAACTATAGTAATAAACCGATTTAGTGTGCAATAATTGACTCTAGCTGGGGTACAAATGGCCTGTTCTTAGAGCTTAGTAACATCTCAGGTAAAAAGTTGTTGAATATTTTGCACATAAATACACCAGTTTGGAGAAAAAGCTTTTTATTGTTGCAAACCCGCAAACCCAAACAAACAAACCAACTTTTATCGCCGTTTTATTATAACGATAATCGAGTAACTGACCATTTGGCAGCGGTCCATTTCCCTGCTACAATTTCCGAACAATTGCAAACAATACCGGAGGTTTTGTTTTCCCGAAAAAAATCTCAGTTGATTTAGTAAGTTGCAACGCACAGCGCCTGGATAATCTGGCCGGATAAGTTCCAAAACCCAAAAAAACATATCAATTTCCTTTTTTGTTAAGTGATCTTTTGTGCTCATTATCCGATGAGAAATGATGCTGTTTTTCTCGTGGTAGTCGGAAAAAAGTCATATAAGTAAGTTTTTATCGCGATCCATTTTTCAGCTGTCGCCTCTGGAAACTCGATAGGCTCTTTGTTTACCGCAAAGTTTAGGGCCGAATAGAGTGAACTTTTCCTTTAAGGGACTCTACTGCTTTATACTGATTGGTTAAGGCTATTATTGCCATAAATCCTCGAACAACTTATAATCTGGAAACTGTCCCAGGAAAATTCTGGGAAATTGTGGGAAAATAGCAGTTTGCATAATTTTTTGTCGAAAAAGCCCATTGTGTTGAAAGCTTTTACGGCTCTTGTTTTTTGCAGTATCGAGCACCCTTTCAGGTAATTGAAAACAGTAAAACAAATCTACGCAAAACCATTTTTAGTGAAGAGATTCCTTACTGAGGCAGGCAGAAGACATAAAAATTGGTATCCTTAAGGCCCTGCTGATGGAGGCGCCCTCGCGATCGAACCGGCAGGAAACTGCACTCCTGCACAGCATCCTGACATTATCCTGGAAAGTGTAGAGGAAAACGGGCGAATTGTGAGGACGCAGCGCTTCCGCTTTTTTGCAGTGGTTTTTCGAGTAAAACTCACGCAAAAGCCTGAAATTTTTTACTAAAAGTGTACTTTTATGGGTTTTGGAATAGGATCCAGATGGACTGAAGGTGGCTGAAATCGACTGCCGATTTAAGGCGAAGAAAAACTGGTAAAAGTTTGCGTTGCTACCTGTTGTGTGTGGGTAGTAAGTTGTAGTACGGTGTGTGTGTAAATGGGGAGTTTTTGTGTGCGATTTTATACAGCAGCAATTTGATGCACTGATTCTACATAATTTAACGCTTTCAATATTTTGTGTTACTATTCTACTAATAGACAATTTTATTTATAAATTATGGCTAAACTGGTGCTTCTTTTCGCTTTTAGGCGCTTATTTGTTTCAATTCAATCTAAAGTACAAAGAAGCTTTTTTATTCCTAAAGTGCTGAAATCTTTTAATAGTTTTAAACAACTCATTGTTCGCTCTTAAGCCCTGAATGACCTTCCATCGCGCTTGAAAATAGGACAACAGTCAGCTTAACTCTAAATCTGGGTCAGGACCTATAAAACAGCAGAAACAGGATTTATGTCTTCCGCAAAGAGATTTTGTTGGGAGGAAATGAGAATTTTAGATGAAAAATTACTGTAGTGGATCAACATATCTAATAGCTAAAGCCTTAGAGAAGGTGTTTTCGAGCTGAATAGCGAGTAATTCCGTTTAAGAGCTTGATGATGTTTAAGCTAGAAACTGTTTTTTTACTCAACATTTAGAAAAACCCTCATTTTCCAGAGAAGAAGCCATCATGTCCGCTTTGGACAAAGCAGTTTCCACTGAAGATCTTTGCACTAAAGAAGGTAGAGTACAGTTTGTTGATGGTTTGGATAATTCAATATATACAAAGTGAATGAACATTAATAAAAAATTGCAGTTTATTTGTGCGCGAAAATATGTTTAGGGCCGAAAGTTTTTCCGAAAAGTTCATTTTAAATGGAAAACCCTGTAGGTGTAGTTTCCAGAGCGTAAACTTCAGGGAACAAGCGAGCAGAAAAACAATAAGAGTTATACAATTGTAAGCTGAATATTGTTTTCAGATTTTCTACTGTTCCCTAAAGTTATTATGTTGCTGATGAGAAAACTCATGTGGATTTTTCGGGTGGTTAAAACTGAACAGATTTTAATCTGTGTATACCGACTTCCTTTAAAACACTGTGTATGCTCGTGGCAACTAAGCACCTTTACCTTGATTTGACTAAAAAACACATTTTCGTTTAGAAAAGTGGATTTTTTCAGATTCTCCTGCACTGGGAGTTCTTCGACTGGAAGCCATTTTGAACACTCTGGTGGAAAACAAAGTGGAAGCGCTCAAGCAGGAAAATGAAAAAACCTCAAGTCTGCACTCCAGTCCCAAGAGCATCTTGCAAAAGTTGAAATTGCAGTCGTCGCCGAAGGCGACCTTGCGAATTGAGGACGAAACGCACAAGAACTCCAAGCGCAAGGAGCGAAAGGAAAAGAGCCAAGGAAAACAGTTTAAAAAGCAAAGTACGACTTTGAACTGAAAATGCGTTTGCTTCAGCCAAGTATTTCAGTGTTGCGCCAAGAAACTTCCTCACCGGATAGTCAGATTCTTCAAGTGGAGGAAAAGTGTCTGAGTCACCAGTATCGAAGCACTTCTTGTATGGATTCCAGCTGTCCTTCGCATGTTTGCTACTGCAGCCACGGGCAAACGTAACTCAAAATTTTACTCAGTCTTCCACATGATTTTAACTGAGCTCTTTCAGGCCCTTGCAAATGGCCGATGAGTACATTTCGATCAAAATGGACTCATATGGAGATGTGGAAACTGATGCTATTATTGCGAGGGAGGAGATGCGAAGGGAGAGAAGGAAGAGAAGGAGACGACGCAAAAGGCGCCTAAAGAAACGGTAAAATCCGCAGATATTAAAAAAGCAATTTTCAAAAAGGCGTGTTGCAGCTTGGCCTTAAATCCTCACCTGGTGGACACTTTCGCCCACGAGAGCGACTTCAAGACTTTTCACGACGACGAGCTGCCTCCAAGAGCAAAATGGACAATCGTAGCTACTGCCTGTTTGTTACTCTTCATGTGCCTGTTATTAGTGGGAATCACTCTGAGGATGGCTCCGATTATTGACGAAATTGGTAAGGCAGGGGGGTTGTAAGTTTCACTCAACTGCTGAAAAGGTTTGTGAGTGATTGCAAAAATGTTCCATTTAGCATGGACAATGGAAAGTCCCAATTGTTATCCATAAGCGATTAGGGGCTGAGTTTTGAATAATAAATAATTTGATTGAAACATCCATTAAATTTGTTTTGTCAACTTGCAGCGGCTGATGAAGTCGTCTTAGTCAATAAAAGTGCATCGGACAGATCCAAATTGATCCGCATTAATCATAGTTTGGCAAATATTTTCCTCAAAACTGTAAACAATGGTATTTCACATGATTAATCATTAAGTAGCGATTTTGCAATTGGCTTGACGAATGTACATAAATCGATTCTGTTATTACAAAGCTCGGTTTTCGCGAGGAGCCATAAACAAACAATGAGCGTTCAAGCCAAGAACGTGAATGTTTTCGAAAAATTTGGAATTGAAACTGGAAATCTATAAAAAGTTTATTTAAAGAAAAGTTTTTTTTTAAGATTATTTAGGTGAGTTTAAAGCTTGAGTCATCAACCATTTGATCAACCATCAACCAATATCTAACGTAATCTTTTACTTTTAAATAGTTTTGCTAGATAATATAATATTCTTAATTTTCTACTTAATATTTTTTCTTTTCTTAATACTCTTAAGAAAAGGTTTATTGTTCGAATTCGACTGAAAACTTTTTTGAAAAAAATGAACGTAAAATCTTTACTTCCTGCAACTCATATTTAAGAAGCGAACAGTGGGTGATAAGCACGTTTTCAGTTTGAATAAAACTGCAGTTGAAAAAAAAATTCTTGGCACTTCGTCTGAGTATTATTTTTGCAAATGTGCGATTTTGCTTTCAACATTTCTGTTATTTTCTGACTATTTAAGCGCTTTTTAAACAAAATTAAGTAATGTTTTCCCAAAACAAACGTAAACTCATCTGGGACTTACTTTTGAAAAACTAAAAGTGCATGAAAAATATTTTTTTAGTTTAAATTTGACTGAGAATTAAAAAAAAACGTTATATCTTAACCACCTGCAACTCATTTTTAAGAACTGAAAAGGAGTGCTGAAAATATTTTTCGTTTGAATAAAAATGCAGCTGAAAAAAATTATTGCCGATTAATAAACTTGCGTTAATAAATAGGCGATTTTTTGTATTTTTTAGCTGCTAAAATGTTTTTTTTTGTTGTTGTTTACTCATTTACAAAACAGTCGCAAAATCTTAACTTATTTTTAAAACACAAAAAAGCGTGATAAATACGTTTTTTCTTACAATACAGTTACCTTCAAAAAATATTTTGAAAAGCGCGTGAACAATAAAAAAACAAACATTTTGAAAGCTCAATTATTAAACAAGTAAAAGGCCGATTGACCTTAAAAATAGACAAAGAAAATATTAAAGATTTTTTTTCAAATTCAATTTCATTTATCATATTTTTCATCTAGTTTATGGTGCTTAAAAATAGATTGTCAAAAAAGTATTCACCTAACTTTTTGCGGCTTATTTTGATGATCCAGAAAGTGCGTGATAAAGAAGGTTTACGTTTGGAATCCACTAAAAATTCAGAGAATTAATCAAAAGAATAAACAGGCGAAAAACCGGAAGACTGCAGTAAATTTGAAAAAACTGGGAAAACTGAAATTGCCTGTAATTAGAAAACAAGGAATCAACCGAAGCATTTTCAGACGCAAGAAAATATTGCTCGTAATCGATTAAAGACGCATTAAAGCGAATTTTCCACCGACATTAAGAAAATTGGGCTGCTTATGTAAACGCAATTAATAATGTTCATTTCCAACACAACACGTCTCTTTTGATCTAAATTTATCTCTAACCCAGTGGTGCCCCGAGCTTTGCAAAGGATCACCCACTTTCGTAAAACGCCCTAAAAGCTGGTAAAATCAAAAAATCACTGTTGCCGTAAAACTACATAACGAAAATGTTTAATGGCTAACTCGAGTAAATTGGGCGCTTTCTCGGACAAAAACTGCAAAGCTTAGTGCGGAAAAACGGAAAAAGTACGCCCATGGTTCAAGCTAAACAGCTTTCTTCAATGCAGGAGAAAACTCAAAGTTGCGATATTTTACTTGAGCTTTGCACGCGCCAACATGTCGAGCAGTGAGTCGGTTGAACTAAGGCGAAAATCGGCCTCAAATGCCTCTTGCAACACCTGCGAAGTTCTTTGCAACTCCCGCGTGTTTCTCAGCCCTTCTAATGGGCGAGTTAACTCCACCTGCAGTTATAGTAGTGCTTCGGATTGCCTCCAGTCTGGACCGAGGGGGCTGATTCTACCAGGTATTAATTGTGGAGGGTTTTGAGGAGAATTAAAAATGCCTTTTGCCAGGTGCGCGTCGCCTGCAGAAAACCGTCTCCCTGGAAGAAATCGACAGTAGAAAGAAGCAGAGGAAGAGCAGAAGCGAGCACCGAAGAAAAAGCGAGCTTCTGGAAACAGGAGGACTCAGCAGGAAAAACTCAACAAAGAGGTTAAGGAAAAAGAGCAGTCAACGAAGGCCGAGCAAAGTGCATGACATTGAGCGCGGTTCTACTGAAGCCAGGTAGGAAATATTTAACAAAGCTAGAGACTTGGTGTCCCGATTGATCACCCGACTTGTAGTCCTGCAGGTTCCAGATTGAATTCCGAATCCCACAGCGGCAAACAGGGCTTGAGAAGACAACAATCTAAGGAGCACCAGTGGCGGATACAGCGCCGAAAAAGAATCATCAAGGCGATCTTGGGCGTCTACATTTTCCTGCTCTTCATCAGCATTTTATCGGTTGTGGTCACTTTGACTCACACCAGCACTGCTACAGTTCTACACAATAATTCTACAAAAAACCTCACTTATTACACGTTTTCTCCCAGTCCAGGGGTTCCACATCCAGACAAAACTTGATCTGTGAAGTTACTAGAAAACTTTAGATAAGTGTCTGGTTGTCAATGGAAATAAAGGTTCTTATTCACGTGATGTGGTGTTTCGTTTTTCTTTGCTGATGGGGATTTTTCGTGAAATGTTATATGAAAATTGGTTGTTTTCTTTTGCAGTTCGAGAAGAAAACGAAAAGCTCATTAACTCAATTTCGAATTCAGCAAATGCCTCGAAAATGTCCGTCCATAATCATGTAAGATAAATTGGGGTTGTCTGGGTGCAAAAGTTGAATTTTTATGTTCTTTCAGGCAGCTTCGACGGAAAAACTCTACATTCTCAACGGTGTAACGTAGGCCCTTTTCACCAATGACAAAAACAGCAAATAATCTCCCATAGGTTTCCACATAACGCAGGGTTTATAAGACTATATATATTAATTAATCCATTATGAATAATAATATTAATGACACTAACAGCTATTTGTGTTATTGTGCAGGGTGGTCCAATAAGAGGGAGGCGCAAGAGCAACCATTGAGTACTAAATGGAAGAACAGACGTTGATTTAAAGTGCTTTAAAAATAGCTGCGTTCTGCGCTCATTTTGGTGCGGATGAAATTATAATTTTCTTGAAGAATTACTCGTTTGATCCAAAGAAAGTAAGTCCACAGAAAGTAACAATTATATTATTAAAACACAGAGTGGTTCAAAAAGTACTCAGTTTTTAGAAGATGATTGAATCAGGGTCCTTAGAGGCAACGATTCGAAGATACAGAGTGTGAAAAATTTACTAAAATTTTGCAGATCTCAATGGGTATCGAGACCATATTTCTATTGAATGAAGGCAATTTTTTAAAGAAAAATATCGGGCGGCACTGATTTTGCAAAAAATAACTTTTACCCTTTCATTGCCTGTTTAGTCGTACGCAAATAATCTCTCTTGAGTTTTCTTCGTAAAACGAGTAAAAAAAAATATCGTATTAATGAAAACCACAATTTATTTCGTAATTAAACTTATGAAAATCACAGAAATACTAATTCGAACTTTATTTTAATGAATGTGTAAACATAAATGGATTTAACTTAAGAAAGTGATAAATTAATCGTCCATAAATTAAAAGTTTTAAAACTGTTAGTGTAAAGCTTCCAAAGCGGGAATTAAAACGATTTTTGCTAGTCGGAAACCCTCCTTTGTACGAAGAAAACTCACAAGAGCCTTTTTGTGTAGAATTAAACAGGCAATGCAAAGATTTTAAAAATCGTAAAGAAAAATCAGTAACGCGCCATATTTTCCTTTAGAAAATTGCCAGTACGAGCGCAACTTGTGGTTGAAAGAAATGTTTCATTCAGCAGAAACATGGCCGCGAGACTCCAGAAAGTTTTTTCTTTAAAGTTAAACAGGCAATAAAAGATAATTTTTTTTTTATTATTTCATTAAAATATCTGAACCGGTTTCGGTTGTAATGATGAATTTTTATGGTTTTTAATAACTTTAAATCCCTGCTTTTTCGAAACGCGGCTTTTCCGGAACCTCATTTGATAAACCTTCTTATCCTACAACAATGCCTGGCAATCATCTGAAATTTATCAAAGTACTTTTGAATCACTTTGTTTAAACTGTGTTTTTCTACAGAAAAAATCGAGTTAATCGGCGACATTTTCCAAGTGATTCATAATATCTGCAATATGAAGTTTTCTCATGTAAAATGTTATAAAAAACATTGTTGAAAATTCACGTTTCACTAGAGCGACTGTCGATACTGAAAGCATTTTAAATCACTTTCTCTTACGTTTTCGCACGCCCTGTAAATTCAGATTCAGCCAAATTGATTTGGGGTCGATTTCTATGATTAAGCAGAAAATACTTCTATTTTTACCATTGTACACCGACTTCTGAAGTTTTGTATTTATGACAAATAAGATTGTTTACGATTAGTTTTTATACCGGCACAAACAACTGCACTAATCACAACTTTCTAGCCACTGTGTTTCGGAAAAGACTGTAATATACTAGAATAGACAATCAATCAATCAACGTTCTCTGTTATAACCAATTGCATGTCTTGTAAAACTCTTGCTCAAAGTATCAATATATGATATATATGTATAGTGAGTAGGTCTAATATTGTAGTTTTCCAAACTCGATTTGGTTCCATTGACAATCAAAATAGTTGTTTTCCAATTGCAATTGTGCTAATCGAAATCTTCTAGTGCCGTAACTCAGATAATCAAACCAGAACTTTGTGAAATCGATGTTTGTATTATTAGAGTGGTGAAAAATATATTTATTACATAAAATCTGTTTGTTTTTCACCCACACCCCTGGTGGTTTCCCGAATTTTTTCTACTCCACTGGAATCGAGCGCAACATGTGGAAAACCATCCAGTGCGCACTCAATCGATTCAGCTTTCCGCCACAGCAGTGTTTTCTATCGCTTTCAACCCCCGTTTTATATGAGCATGCTTTTATCTAGCTAAGTATATATTTATAGTAGTTTTGATACGGATTTTACATGAGGATTAATGTGTAAGTCGTAGGGCGACTTTTCAACGTTTTCAAGCTCTGCCATGCCTCCAAACGACGCGAATCTCGGCTACGCTTACCAAGTGCCGACCGGAGGATGGACGGCCAAAGTCCGAAACGCCCTGTCTCAATTCAGCGACATTTTCAGCGAATTTGATAAGTACATTGCGCCAGCTTACCATCATGATCGCTGCGAACGGTAAGCAACAACGCGAAGTAAAACATCCTGAGGTTTATTGCGAGGGCTTTCAGGTCGGTGCAAATGCGCCTGTATTCGATGAACAAAAGGGAGTTTGTGATGATTTTCATTCTGTTCTTCGCCTGCTTTGGGCTAACAGTTTTCATCGGTCTGGCTGGTAAGGTTCCATGGGAGGGCTGATGGAGAAAATTGGCTTTTTTCCCATTTAGGTCCCCCCATAACGGAGACCACTGCAGTTGATGCCATTTCCATCCTGCCGAAGCTGAATAATGCCACGAACTTCAAAGACATCGCTACCGGGCCGTTTATAATGAAAACCCCGAAGCTTTCCACTTACAATCAGCAGCTGTGGATAATCGCCAAGATGAAGACGCAGAATACCGATGGTAAATAGCTATCGAAGCGAAATTTCCCCGTCGCCCAAACTCATTTCTGGTTTAGGTGAAACCATTGACAAAGAGTTTGATATTTGCGTAACATTGTCTGGATTAACTGAAGAGCACAAACCTGCGAAGATCCTCACGGCGAAAAACCACCAAAACAGGTGCGATGCAGTTTTTCGCGGAAAAATCGTAATTTAGCAAGTTTTCTTTTGCAGGACTCACCATTTGCGCTGCGATAAACAGGCATGTGACGAATTTATTGTGATGCATTTGGGATATCTGGATTACACTCACTACATGGTGAATATTGCGTTTTATGACCTGGAAACCTTCCATGCGACCTACAATATTCGAGAGCTGTATTTTCACGTAAGCTTTTCACGGGGTTTTTGAAAGGTTTTTTTTAGCTGATGCCTTTCAGTTCAAAACCTACAATCCAGACTTTACTCAAATCGAGGTGTGGTTCCGGCTGATTTTTTTGATCGGAGCATTTGGAATAACGGTGAGTGTAAAACGTGAAATGGGCATCAAACTAAATGTGGCTTTTAGTGGTGGTTTTGCCAAAGTCTTCGAAAATACCCCGTACATTGTTGGTCGTTTGAGCAGAAATGGGTGGGCATTCTTCTGCCACTGCTGATGGCGTTTGATAGTAAGTGGAGTAAAATAGACCCCAGATTGTTTAATTGCTTATTAGTTTAGCGACTGACCTTTTTAGATGTGGAGGTTTTCTCGTAAAAGTGAATTTTGAAAGAACCATCCAGAGATGTTTTGAAAGATTCCTAACTATTATTCGAATAGTTTTAATTGTTTCAGAGCTGTAAATGGAATTGTACATGAATTCATAAAATTTCGACTTTATCTTTTTTAGGATTAGATATTTCAGTTGAAAGATAACTCATAAAATGCTCTATCCGAATGGCTCAGAGAAATGAGATCGTATTTTAACTTCACTTGTTTTGCTTTCCTTCTATCTAGTTTCCTTCTATTCTAGTTAAGAATTTTCGCTAGACGTTACTACGAAAGAAACGCTTTGGAACAGGCTTCCGAGAAAGTCATATCGACTTTTATGATATTTCCAATCCTTTTTCAATTATACGCTGTTAAACTTCGAGTATCCACTTTTTTCATATTTTGTTCTACTTCTATGGCGGTCAGGAATTTATGATGAAAATTGTGACCAAAGGTAGTTCTCAAGACGGGCTATTAAAAATGTTATTACAACTAACTGGATGTTTTCAATCTTTTCTGAGATATGGAGTGTTTTAAACTGTGAGCGCACTCAAATGTTTGGCTTTTTTTGCAGTGCGATCGTTAAATTTTTTATCCTATAATATAGCACACAAAATGGTCTCTAAAAACGCCCTTACAATTGAAGCGATATTTCCAATCTGAAGCAAACCAGAACATTTTTAGAAGCGACTAAGGCACAATAAGTCGAAATAATCTTATCCTCTAACCAACTGTTCGGAAGCGCTTTCCAGATATGAATGTTGCAAAATTTTGTCTCTATTTAAGCTCTGAAAAATGTTAACTTTAGGCAACAATCAAAATCAATTACTTCAATAAATCCAGTGGTTTGCTGTGTTTCAGACACCATCTTAAGATTAAAAAGTGCGTCATTAATTTGCGTGTGAAACTTCCATGGCTTCACAATGGAACTCTTGCTTTTGCCCCCTTTTTCTAAATAAATGAACTGAAACTTTTTATCTGTTTATCCACTAGACCCTTTTTTCCCCATGATGTTTCTGATGAGTTCCTGGCTTCCCGGGATGTTGGATGCCCTGTTCCAGGCCACTTTTCTAGCTGCGCTCTTCCTGTTTTGGCTCAGCATCTACCATGGACTTAGACAGGTACTTTCCATTCTATTTCCCCTTCATTTTACTGCAGTCAAAGCCTTTTAGAACGAAAGGAACCTCTACACGTTTTACCTGCCGAAAATCTTCGTTGTGTCCATGATGTACGTTCCCACAATGGTTTTATCCACTTGGCAAAAAATTGGAGAGCTGCGCGATCCGACTTACGATCACCGAATTGAGGCTGATTATGAGGCAAATTCCCTCATGTGGGTATAGAATTAATTAAGTAAACACGCAAATTTTGTAGGTTGTAAAGGCATTTTTCTACATTTTCGGAGTGATCTATCTGGCATATTTAGGCTTTCTGATACTAAAAGCCTATTCCGAGCTGCGCTCCATGCCATTTTTCGGTAATTTCTCCTACTTTCGCTCTCCATGCAGGTCAATTTTACAAACATTTTTCCTGCAGGGCTTCGCCTCAAGTTCCTCACGCTCCTCATGCTAGTAGTGCTGGTAACTGGAGGACTTATAACGGCGCATAAGTTTGGAGTGGACATTTTAGAGGACAACTTTGTGGCCCAGCTGGGCACCCATTACAGCAATTCGGAGCAATTCATGTCTTTTTATGGCCTATTGAACTTGTACGTCTACACCATGGCCTACGTCTACTCGCCCCAGAATAAGAGCATTCATGGTGAGTCTTCTTAGCTGTTGGATGAATGCCTCAAACCACAGTATTGTAGATCAATCAATCACGAAGGATAATCCGGCTTTTTCCATGATCAATGACTCAGATGAGGACGTAATTTACGGGTCGGATGAGGAGAGCCGAAGGCCTTTAAATAGAGGACACAATGACGATGATAGCGACTAAACTGTTGGTGAAGACGCAACTTAACTCCTTTGCTGCCTCATTGAGGCGCTGATTCAGGAACATCGGCATAGGGAATGATGAATAGTCAGGGTAATAAGTTAAACATTGGATTTGAGTTGGAAATCCGAAAAAATCAACCAAAACTGCTTGAAAATACACCATTTACAACGTATTTCGATCTATTAAGCCTACCCTATACATCTAAAGTCATAAGAACGTAGATTTATTTTTGTATCTGATTGTTGAGCCATTTGAAAGACATAAAACCGCTTGCGTAAAGCAACATTAATAGTAACCGCATATCATTTGTTGTATTGTTTATACGAAATTTTGATGTTGTAGTTGTTGCTCTTAGATCCAGGGACTTTTTAAGGATATTAGGGCATTTTTGATGTTCGACGTTATTTAAGGGTGTCTAGTAATTTACAAAATAAATTTGTTAAACATTTGATAAAGGTCTTGCATATTTTTATTCGTTAGACACCATGTTTGAGAAATGTGATTATTTAACAATTGCTTCCGGAAATAATTGCGATAAATCTTCCAAACATTCGGCACAACAAACCTGGGATTTATGGGCAGAAATTTATTCGCAATGTTTAAAACATGACATGTTTTTGTTGCCATTTGGTATATTGAAAGAGTTCAGGGATCATCGATGTTTCCAGGTCAACAAGTGAAGGTTTGTGTAATGTTCAATGAGAAAAAAAGGTTGCAACATAGATAAATACATTCAGCGTTTAAACATCCAGACACATGTGTTGAAGGTTGACCCTTAAAAGTTGTTTTAATTTGCAGAATCGATTTGCATTTGAAAAGAATTGAGTCTCACGGTGACAAAACAAGCGCACTTTAGATTAGAAAATTGAAGGACTTGAATCTGAAAATTTGAATTAAAAAGAGCAGTCGGTTGATTTTTTACGAGTTTTCAATGGCAGTACTTATGGATGATTGAAAATCTTATGATTCATCCTTTCGTCAAACGTTGAATAAAAATGCCACTGAACTTTGAACTCTGAACACTGTAAAGACAAGCCTGAAGTCGAAAAATCTCCACTCTAACCTAGATCCAATAGGCGCCTAAAAATCCCGTTGTTTATACAACTCACTATCGAAAGTCTGAGAATGTTAGTTGAGAATCTGGATCAGTTGATTTTTTTTTTAAATACCAATCTTTACCGTATAAATGTGCATTTGCTGTCGTTCTCACGAAGTCCATATGAAATGCAAAGGTTCTCTGATCTCAAGCAAGCAGACATTTGAAATGTTTTTGATGAAACAATCGGGTCAAGAGTCTTCGGAACTTTTCCAAAATAAATTAAAGCTTGAATGGTCGTTGGGAAAATCTAATCGCAATTAGTAAAGGAAATGCTTCCATTTTTCAAGAAACAATTGAGTTGAATAAGATTTTCATGGATTTTTGAAAATTTTGGAAAATTGTCTCCTGTGCACAGAATGACTTAAGAAATTTCATCGTAAACTGGATTAGAGCAGAATGTTAAAACCTGATGTTCATAGTCAAAATGAACCAAAATCGACAAGACAGAAATTAATGTGCAAAAGTTAAAAAGAAAACAGTAGACCTAGAAACCTTCTGCTTGAAGAAAAATACAATGGATTATGATTCTTGAACTGAAAACTTCTTTGCTTTATATGGAAAAAAGACCCATTAACAGATCCACACCCAAACGTTTCGCATTTGATTGTTGCCTCAATTTGGGCAAAATAATCGTTTAATTTCGATCCGATTCTTACGCAATAGTACTAATTATTTTCGGTACCCCATACGAAGAATTATCTTTGCTTGCGAAATTATCGGCTTTACTGAAAACACAAAAACAGACAAACATGGATTAGCAAATTCGGTATGTTTCCAGGCAAAAATTCGGTGTGGCAAGAACAAAAAATACCCGCAATTTGCGCGCGTGATCAACAAAAAGACTGCAGCTTTCATGCAATATTTCTACTATTAGAGCTTCTCAGATCAAGGGAAAAATAACTCTGTGAAAGCAATTATGAAATGGATGGATTATCAGTGATTGAGACACGCGGTAGCAATAATATGCGATGCCTTGACGACAACGAAACGCATTTTGCACCATATATAAACGCTTTTAACAGTTGGAACCCGAAGATAAGGAAGGGAACCCGCCAAGAACTTTCAATCGGTCAACAAACTGGTTCGAAGGCGATTTAAACACACGCTAGTCAGTAATTTCTAGCAATGCGATTTGTGTAGTGAGGATTTGTATGGTGCAGTTTTTTATTTGTGTTCGATTTGTTAGTGAAAGTGAAAAATAATGGGAAGCAGCCAATCTGCCTTGAACTTTGGAGCTGGACCTGCTAAATTACCTAGAGAAGTACGTCATTTACCAATAAAAAATTAACTAATCTTTTATTCATGTGGACTTTGACCAACACCTTAAAGCCCAGTATTTACTAGATTTTTTCCGATTTCTGCCTCAAAGTTTTATCGAATATTCAAGTTGAAGATTTCCTTCATATGATTTATCAGTTTTTTTCCAAAAACCCCACAGACTTGAACTTTTTGACCCCGCGATAGCACAATCTCGCACGCTAAATTGCACGAATTTTTCATTATCCAGGTCCTTGCGGAAGTCCAAGATGAAATTCTCTCTTATCAGAACACAGGCATGAGTCTGATGGAAATGAGTCATCGGTCCAAAGAGTATGGAAAAATCAACAAAAGCGCTCAGGACAGCATTAGGGAGCTGCTGTAAGTCCATCAGATGGCGCCTTGATTGATTAAACTGGATCAGTGGTTGCTTTTCCAGAAAAGTTCCCGATAACTACAAGATCCTGTTTATCCAGGGTGGAGGCCTGGGAGCTTTCGCAGCAGTGGCAATGAATTTTATGAGCCGCACTGGAAAGGCTGATTACGCTGTAACGGGCACTTGGTCGGGAAAAGCGGCCAAAGAGGCTGAAAAGTATGGCGATGTTAACTTGGTCTTTCCAAAACTCGAAAAACCTGGCAGTATTCCGGATCAGAGCACCTGGACCCTCCGTCCAGATGCTTCCTACTTTTACTACTGCGACAATGAAACGGTTGATGGTAAGTTCTCAATTTTAAGCCCTGATGGAGGTTAAACGCAATTTGATTATAGGAGTCGAGTTTCCTTATATCCCGGAAACAAATGGAGTTCCCATTGTAGTGGACATGTCTTCCAATATTATGACTCGAAAAGTGGAGGTATCCAAGGTAAGACTGTTCCTGTTCACTCCTGAAAGTTCTTCAGCCAAAATTACCTTAATCTTCGCTTGCGTAATGGCAGTAATAGTTTCTATTTTTTTTGGTCTATTCAACATTATTTCTTTCTTAAGTTGCCTTTAACGTGCCATTTTTTGGAGTCAGTATTGGTTCGCTCCATTCTTGCTTCCTAATAGTTTCTGTCGTCCTTTCCCTATGGACGTTTACCAACCGTTTCTATTTCTTTTTTATCTGAAGGCTTTTTTGTTTCTCTTTGTTTCACCTTACTTGCCTGCTCCAAAGTTGCCCGTTCTATCCCGCTGAAAATTATCGGATTTTCCTCCATCCTTCCCAGCTAATACTTACTCGTTTGGCTTTCAGTTCGGTTGCATATTTGGAGGCGCCCAGAAAAACATCGGCCCTGCAGGAGTTGTGGTTGTTATAGTGCGGGATGATCTGTTGGGAGCCGCAATGAAAGTTTGCCCTACTGTATTCAACTTCACCCTAGTCCACAAGGACAACTCCGTCCTAAATACGCCTGCCACCTTTTCGTAAGTTCTTGCAAAATCTTATAATCGCTCATAAGCATAGCGTTTATTGCAGGGTTTATGTCATGGAAAAGGTGCTCCAGTGGATCAAACAGCATGGAGGAGTGGAAAACATGGAGACTCAATCGGGCAGGAAAAGCGGTCTTTTGTACGAAACCATCAAGACTTCGGGGAATTTCTACAGCTGTCCTATTAATGAAAATTGCCGCAGTAGAATAAACGTGCCCTTTAGAGTGGGAGGTCCGCAAGGCGATGAGGATTTGGAGGCGAAATTCCTGGAAGAAGCGGAAAAGAGGTACATGTACCAACTGAAAGGCCATCGATCAGTAGGAGGAATCAGAGCCAGTCTATACAACGCCATTACTTTTGAAGATGTGGCTCTTTTGGTGAAGTTCATGAAAGAATTCCAGGCGCAGCACCAAAAGTGAACCTGCTCCAAATAATCTTGTAAATTTCCATTCCATTAATCGCTCGATATATTTTTGTACTAAAACTATTTCAAAATAAAACACTGCCAATAAGAAGAAACGTTGTGTATAATCTCAACCTAAAACAGCCTGTTATAAAAATGCAACTTACAAAACTTACGATCTAAATATTAAGTAGACGGATGAAAGAAACAACTTTACCCCTATAGCCTGTGGGAAAGAACCCTTTTACTTCTTGTTCTGGAAACAACGAAACAGTTTTGAAAAGTCCCTGTAGGACATTGAAAGAAAATGATTCAAAAAATCACCAAACAAAACTGATCTAGACTATAATTAGTGTTTCTTCTTTTTAATCTAAAAAAAAAACGACAACACAAAATAAAACCCGCTGTTGTGGAACGGAAATCTTACCTTTTCTTTTCCGTGTTTTGTGTTGTTTTCCGTTTGTCCGCTGTATGATTGCGGGTTCTTGTTGGAACGCTCTTGTTCCAGCAGAGCGTGCAAATGGGCCACTTCTTCAGTCAATTCCTCTTTCACCATAGTCAGTTTGCGCAGCTCTGCCAACACTTGGGCCTTGTCCTTCACTGCAATTCCCGTGAAGTTAAATAGGGAAAATTTCTTGCATCCAATGCTTACTTTCGCCTTGGCCCAGCATGCTGCACAGGCTGGTGTTTCGCAATTTCACCAAAGCTATCTCGTTTCGGGCTTCTTTCAGCTCCTTTTCCAAAACTTGGTTCTTCGCTCTTTCCGCCTCCAGTTGCTCCTGTACAAACATTTCATTATTAGTCGCCTAAACTTGTTAAGCATTTGGAATCAATACCTGACAGTGAGCCAAGCTGACCACTTCGTTAAACACTTTCTCTCGCTGCTTTCGGTCTTGCTCCACACGTTCTTTCGTGATAACTTTTTGATTTTGTTCCAACATTTCGACGAAAAAGTCTTTTTCCGGTTGTTTAGGTGCCGCAGCTTCTTCTAAAAATGCATTGGAATTGAAATATTCAATCTCTAGGAAAAGCAGTTTCGGAGCATTTCAAAAATATTGAAAGAATTGAAGAAAAATGACATACAATATTGATTCGAATGGTGCTGGAACAAAAAAACTTCGATTAGGAAGAATAAGATTAAAACGTTTAAAAGAGAACGGAGGAACTGGAGAAAAGACGCGGAAAATGTTTGCTTACCTTTATTGTTTGGTTCCTTGTTCTTGTCGAGGAACTGGTCCAGGCTCATCGTGGTTTTCCTTTTCTTCTTCTTGTTTTGTTCTCGGTCGATTTGTACAACTACGATACTCTTCTGCTGCTCGAATTCTAGTTTAGATTGAAGCATAGCATTCTGCATCTGAAAGAACCTGAGTGTTTCATGCACACCAAATAGACAGTGAAGTGAACAAGCTCTCAAAATATTGAAATACAAGTCCTGTTTGGAACATATTTAGAAAGTGTTAGTACCTCTTCCTCAAACACGTCATTGACGAATTTGTCGTCCTTCTTCTGCCATTCCTCCCAGTTCTTCTCATGTTCCTCCTTGGGCTTTTTTGGCTTTTTGGATGAAGACTTGGGTTTCTGGAAAAAGGAGAATGGAACTGTTAAGGAAGAAGTAAATATTTTCCTATATGGTTCCAGGGAAATCAGAGCATGATCAGCACTGTTCGTTTTGGGGCCTATTTCTTTTTGATGTCTTTAGTAAAGTTGGTGAGTTTCTTACACCAACATCGGCATTGTTGCTCTGTTTCTTCTTCGACCCATTTACAGCGGAGTTTTTGGCAGCATCATTGGCCTTTTTGTTGGATTTATTGGCGGATTTTTGCTTTGAACTGTGGCTGGCAGGCCGAAAATCGTCGTCTTCGATCTTCAGGCAGGCAAAACGTGATGGAACCGCAATATTCATCGCTGGAACCCACAGTTTTTCTATCAGCTGACTTTTAACTGATTTACCTGCTTGGGTACCTTCTGGGAAGATGCACGAGTTCAGTACCAGTGATTTATTCAGGGCAGGAATGGATAGTTTTAGTTGATTTTTTTGTATACTATTTTCGGGAGCCTACTGACTTCCTGACACTCACTGACACTACGGGCGGTAACCAAGAATACACTCAGCTGATTCAACAAGGGTTTAGCTTGGGCATTTGGTGGTGCTAAAACGGGGCTTGTTTTACCCGAAGGAATCGCAAATGAATTGGTCTTTGTTTATATATCCAGATCCAGGTTTAGGTATTAAAATAAGGATGGCCAAGGCAATGGCTGTAGGCAACTGTAAATACAGCGCGCGACTTACGCGCCACTTATTTGAATTGTTTGCGCTCTGATTTTTTTTGTGGAATCTGGAGGAATAACGGTGTTTTGCTTGAAGATTAGCAATAGTTACTAACTAAGCAGGGCTAGTTGAAGAGTTGCGACTTTGTCATAAAGTCCCCTAAATAAGGAAAAAACCGAAATTGCCAACTTAGTTGTTTTCCTCTGGAGCGTCCTGAGTTTAGTTTTTCTAATTGGTTTAATTTAATATGCAAATTGTTGCATGTAAAACAACAAACTAATCCGGTCTGTTCTTGTGCGGATTAGCCGAAGCCAACAGGCGTGCGTGGCACCATCAAACTAAGCCAAAGAAGAAAAACAGTGGTAGCGGAATCGTGGCCGTCACCATCGTCGAGTTTTCAGTCAACTTTCCACGGTCTTCGTTCGTGCACGCGCGGGCCGCGCAAATCCATCGACCACTCGTAAACGGGCTCGAAAACCTGCTGTTTTTCCTGCCGGAAAATATGCCCAAAAACCTCCAGAGACCCGGAAAATAATCGCGAAAATGCGCGTCGCTTTGCTCCCGTTTTCCGCGAGCTTACGATGGTTCCAAAAGACATAGCGTGGTACTTTGCGTGTTGGGTTTTTACCATATTATGGTCGTGGGACGGGGCCCAGTCATCACCGTTACCTATTAAACAACCGCGCCAAGGTAAAATGAGAATTGTTTCGTTCTTTACCCATTCCGGGTAGGAATCAGTATGGAAAATTCATCCTAACTGCTTGAAATTACGCCAAAGTACCATTTGAGAGCATCAGGATGAATATTCAACTGTTTACTTGTCACAGGAATTTTTATTTTGCCCCAGTGCTCTTTAGAGGACTGTGTTTGGTCTCCTGCTGGTACTTTCTGGGAACATTTCCAGTTGGACACCGCAAAGAGCCTGAATTAATCATTAATATTCCCCGTTAGGGAATAGATAATTCATGCAGTATGTTCGAAATTTGTGTTCTTTTTTCATTATCTTTTACGGCTTATTTTACACATATTTTACAGCTTTTCATTCCTGAGACGGCTCGAATTAAATTGCCTCTTTTGCGCGAAATTACTTCAATCCCTTTTGTAGCTGCGTTGGCTGCTTTTCCTGCAGCCTGAGTGGAGGACTCGGTTATCTCAGGTTTAATTTAAAAATTACAACTAGCGAATGCTTCCATTCGGTCCAGCATTATGAGCTTGCTCGGAAGTCTGCCGAGGTCTTCCACTTAGTAGAAACAATTGATGAAGTAATAATTAAATGTTACCCAAACACTGTAACCTTCACGTTTAGCCGGATTCCAAATTCCCATCATTGTTAGGTGTTGACCGCGAAGATGTTATTGTCTAGTCAAGGCTGCAAGCCTGCAATAATCAGTGTTTTCCGCAATTTTCCATTCTTTCTTCATACATACATCAGCGCTCAGGATATTGGCCCAGAACACTTTATTAGACAAATACCCGTTTAACAATGGAATTTGCGATTTACCTTCGGCCGTTTGGTCTAGGCAAGTGCCATCACTTTCAAAGTTAATTTTCGCCATAACGCTAATGACTCGGCTTACCCTGACGCCAGGCGTCGGTAAGATATTGGTAAGCAAGACTAATGGAGAGCTGCAGGTACATCCTTGCCATGAAATTAATTAGCCCGAAGCTGGTTGTCTCCATTCAAAATAGGGGCAATCAATAAAAGTGACATAAGCTCGGCTTCTTGGCCCTTAAAGTTTGCCTATTATAGAGTCCCCAATATAAATCATCATAAAGGGGGAGCCCGTTTATACGTTGGACACGGATTAAAATTTTAGGCGTAGGGCGTAATTTCTTCAAATCAAGTAGGTACTTTAATGATCTGAGGTAGGGGAGAACCTGTCAGGACTATGGGTCTAAATCGGCCAATACGGAACGGATTTTTTGGATATTTCGTGAAATTTTCAGTCTGATACGCCATGCAATGAATCATGCAAGAGCCAGTCCTGCAATGACCGCTATTTACTCCAATATTCCGTTTTCCGTTCTAGATTTTTTCAAACGCGAAGGTCGACCAGATTTCTATATGTTTGCAAAACCACTATATCTAATTATCACTTTGGTGTAGGATGTTTCGGGAAAGTTGCTCGGAATAATAAAGAAAACGACATTAATCTAATGGTCATTTATTTCTTGTTTGTTATTTCTTATGTATCGGTCGACTAAATCTATTTTTCCAGATTTATAAGTATGCAGTTGTTCTGTGCGAGTTTATAGACGATTTTTGGACTTTCGTTACGTTTACCTAAGCAATATCGGAAATGGAAACAAGTGTCAATGATGAAGAACTGTTGGAAAATGCTAATATGCCACTTGAAAGTAAAGATGAGTTAGCAAGAAAGAAATCTTGCAGATGATGCCAATCAGACCCCTAAATAAAAATTATTTAGAAAAAGTTTCAACAGATAAAAAAATCAACTTTCCCATGTGTGTTTTTTCAGCTCAATGCAAACGATTTAATCTACGAAGCTCCTCATATGCATTTACAGAGCGTTGGAGTCTTCAATGAAGAAGTTTTCGCCAGTTAAAGCTCCAAATTCGCTTGAAATGGGCCAAACAGTTCGATTATTTCGAATCTGAAGCTTCCAGCATTTTTTTGAATGAGTTTATTGGATTATAGGCTTCCTCGAGACTAAGATGATTTAAAATTTGACGCACTTTGCGAGAATTTAAATTTTCACCAAAATCCACCACTACGCCTTAAGAAACTTTCGATCAACACATTTCACATTCGTATTTTTTGAGCTCAATCGATTGCTTTCGACGTAATAAAGCTCGCACATAAAGTGTTTGAAACTGCCATAAAAAATCGTCGGTTAGGAATAGAGTTTTCTCAAAAAAAACGCAAAAATGAACAACGATTTTAATTTTTCTTGGTCAAAAGCTGTCCAGTTCAGCAAAAACAGCAATTACATTCCCAAATGAATCTAGAATCAGCAACAAATTTTTATTTCCAAAATATGCAATCGCGTGCATTATTTTTCTAACTGGAAATTATTGAACGATAAATTTTGCGTTAACTTTTTCCGGCAATTAACCGGTTTCCAATTTTTTGCATAAAAACTGAGCATTTTAGCAACAAAGCCAAAAAGTGCTTTTTTGTTCCCAACTTAATCTACAATCAGAAAATAATTTTTATTTGCCGAAAAACCATGGGCGTGCATCGTTTTTCTGACTTGAAAATATCAAACGTTAAATATTGCGTTCATTTTTTCGCACAATTCGACAGTTTGAATTTTTTAATCGAAAACTGTGCTGTTTAGCAAAAAACACCAAAAATTGTATTCCCAAATTTTTGTTTCCAAAATATACAATCGCGTGCATTATTTTCCTAACTGGAAATTACTGAACGATAAATTTTGCGTTAACTTTTTCCGGCAATTAACCGGTTTCCAATTTTTTGCATAAAAACTGAGCATTTTAGCAACAAAGCCAAAAAGTGCTTTTTTGTTCCCAACTTAATCTACAATCAGAAAATAATTTTTATTTGCCGAAAAACCATGGGCATGCATCGTTTTTCTGACTTGAAAGTATCAAACGTTAAATATTGCGTTAATTTTTTCGCACAATTCGACGGTTTGAATTTTTTAATCAAAAACTGTGCTTTTTAGCAAAAAATCCAAAAGAGCACTTTTATTCCTCAATGAATCTCGAACCAGCAACGAATATTTGTTTCCAACTGGAAATTATTAAACGTTAAATGTTGTGGTAACATTTTCGGGCAATTAAACTGTTTCCATTTTTTTGCATAAAAACTGTCGATTATTTTGGATCTGAAGGTTCCACCATGTTTTCGGATGTGTTCATTGGATTCTTTGTTCTTCGCCTCCTTGATATGAAACCGATTTAGAATTCGACGCATTTTGCGAGAATTGAATTGGTGTTTGGGTCTAGTATAAGGAAAATATTGTCGATTAAAGGTCGTCCATGCTCAAAAACCACTTTAAATGGACCAAAAGTTGTTTAAAACCATCGCTTAATTTGCATCTGAAAAATCTATTGTTGAAATGAGTTTATGGCATCAAAAACATAACGTTCTTGATCGAATGTGAAAAATGCGCTTCGAAGTTGCCAAACTATGAGTTATCGAAAAATTGATAAACTCTTCTAATAGGAGGGAGTACAAGCAGTAGAATGCTAGATTCCCGATGGCCAACAGGAAGGCTTTAAAATCCTGCATGCAAATTTGTCCAAATTACGCCCAATCAATTTTTTTCCTCACCATCTACCAAACCTACGAGTTAAAACAATTCTTGTCCCAACCGGAAACTGTTGGTAACAAATACACCGAAGCCCCGAACATTTTCAACCGAAACTATACTTTATCCCTGTTATATCAAAACCATCCATTGGACACCCATCTCTCATTGTGCTATCCTTCAGCTATTGCAGACAAAAGCACATTTCTCATCTTCCTCCACTGATGGCTTCTTCCATTAACTGGGCAAACCGATCCGGAACATTTCCAAGCGACAGTGTCGGAAAGACACGTTTTCCACAATGATATCTGGCGCATTATGTATTCGGAAAGCTTAAAACAATATATGGGGGGAGCACAGTACAGTGCCGTCCGTTTGTATTGATTTTCTTCGGGAGGGTTTGTTTGTGTGCGTTGTTGGCCGGAAATTCCAAAGATCTGGCAGCAGGACAGGACAAAGTCGCTGTGGAAGACTTAGTAGAAGCAGGATTTAAGCGTAATTGTTATAAGGCAAATTCCGGCTGGGATTGCTTTGTTCCAGGGCTTCGTCTTAGAGTAAACACGCAACAATCGAGAGAGTTTTGAAAAACGTGTGTTGTAAACTGAAGCAGAGGATCAATTGGGGGCAAAAGCTCTAAAACAAAAGAGTTTTTAAACTTTCGATTGATTAGCAGTTGGAAGCCATCAATCATACCGCAATCTGTTGAGCTGGGACTGAATGGATTATTCTGGAACAGTTCTTGGACATACATTTCCATCCGTCTTGATTATATTAGCCCCATTTGCGTCATCTCCAAAACCAATCCGCTTTATCGTTCTCCTTCTGTCGCTTTCGGCAATAAATTATTATCCTTGACAGGCAGAAAATAATAAAAACAATTATTTTGCGATTAAAATACACAAAAGAGCCCGAACGCATAAATTTGATCTAAAACAGCCCCCTCCTCAAAACAAGTGCTCGGCTACGATAAAAAGAACTGGGGAGTAATAAAAACCCCACTGAGATAAAGGTATTAATTTCTGTCCGGATTATTCGGTTTGGATTTATGTCTTTGAGTTAAAGATTTTGCCGCTTGGGAAACACATTAAAGAAAAAAGTTTTTTTTTAATTTGCCTATATTTTCATGTGCAAAAATGCTATCTTGGAGTTAAGGTAGCTCAAAGACGCATTTAAATATGAGCAATTTTTGAAGAAGGACAATTAAAGGTCGAAAATTTAGACAAAATTAATCGAATCCAAATTATAATGGAAAGGCTCATATAAGTATGAGCAAATTGTGAAAAAGAACAAACAGTTAATGAGTTAAAAAGTTTAAAAAATCTGCCTCCAAAGAGCAGTTTTCCTAAACTTTCACCGTTTAACTGTTTGGTTTTTCAAAATTTGTTGCCTTTGAGCTGCAAAGCGTATTTTTTAGAGCAACTTTTCAAAAAGAAGGAAAAGTTACTTAAGAGGTGGGAGTTTAGAAAAATTGCTCTTGTTTGTCCTTTACAATTACAAAAATGTACCCCCTTTTTAGCTTTTTTGAACTGAAAAACCTACATCTAGAAGTCTGACTACATTTGTCAGAAATTATATGCAGAAAGATTGAGTTGAGTCTGGTTCAAATCCCCACTGTTCAAGTCGCAAAGGTTGCCTGCGGGGAAACTGGTTGAAAGCGACTTTGCTTTTTGCAAAATTTTAACGTATTTGTTGACCAAGCAAGAGTTAATCACTTCGCAAAATCCCAATTAAAAAGTTGAAAATTATCTTGCCTCATAATTGAACAACGCAGCTATTTGAGGCTCAGATCGATGAACCAGCAGGTAGACAAAAGTTTGCGGTTTTCCTGCTTTCCAAAAAAATTGCAAAGCCATTTACCAGCGCAAAAATGGCGTAAGTAACGCTTCACAAATGGCCTTCCTACTTGATTATTCTGGTGCGATTCGTCTTTAGCACCTTGAGAAGTTTGGGATAATGCAAGTTTCGAATTCTCCTTAGCTCCAGGACTCGCAAACTGACGCCCCCGGATGATTTTTATCGAAAACTCCCCAAAAAGAGCGGAAAAACCGCCGAGGAAAACTTTCCCCAGTAAGCCGTGTTGTTTCGAATCCAGAGAAATTTGTAGCAAAGTTTCAGCTCCCGCCAGGACTGTAAATTCGCATTATCTTCCAGACCATTTCGAAATGCCGGATTTGCATTCGAAATTTCCCATGCATCTCGATGGTGTGCTAAATCGTTGAAAATCCCCTATTCAATGACTGTGTTGAAACCGAAAAATATCGACAAAATTGAAAAAAAACCGTGATAAAAGGCCATCGATTGGTCATTGCTCGGATAGGAAACATGAAAACCCGGAAACAATTGCCGATTGTTTAACAAACAAACGAAGCATAGCAAATTGGATACAGTTTTTCGTTTTTTCCACACAGCAAAATAACATTAAACCGCTATTGAAGCTTTGAAAGGGACAATCCAATAAACGCCACTAACGCCAGTTTTGTTTGTAGGTTTCGACTTGAATTCCTGGATTAAACACTATGAAATTGCCAGTTACGATCCTTCCTTATTGCTGGAGCAGCATCAAAGGCTTCGCAGAGATGCTGATGAAGGACCAATTAGACTGGAGGTGAAAGGGCACAACCGGTGAGTTTCTGCTGATAAAAACTAGAGTTTCACAGCTGGAAGGTAGGAACTGATAAATATTAGTGGATAGTGGGCTCAAATCCCCATCCGCATTGTCTACTGAAAGCCCAATTCCCATATCAGTTCCATTCAGGCTGCACAAAGCAAGATGTAATGGAAAACATCGGGAATCGGTATCCCACCCGATTGTTAGTTTTCCATTTTGGAACTTGCTGGCATTATTTGCCGAGCATCGATTACACATTTACCAGTCTTGAATTCAGGAGTTTTCCCAACTACCCTCTGGTAATATAAATATCCATTAACCAAAATTTAAATTGTCTGCATAGACCAAACTGGAACTCGGAGCTTGAATTTATTCGGGTTAGGGGGGCGCGATTAAACCGACTCGAATTTCGTTGTAAAATGCCCTCGTTTAGGCGTGCAATACATGCAGGGATCCGCCCTTGATCATAAATTATCTAATCTATTGTACGTGTAATTAGTTTAGAGAGTTTCGTCGCTTTACGGCTCTCTTTGAGGCGCAAATGCGACTGAGTAAACGCCCTCATTACATCTACCTTTAGGCTTACTCGACACCGAATTGATGTAACCATAGTAACCACGACCCAACTGGATGAGTTTACTCCGAATGATTTGCATTGGGGAAAAAGGTGCTTTTTGATTCAAAGCTCTGTCTCTTCAGATAAGCACAGTAATGGAGAAAACGCCATCGAATGGAGAGTGCGGGAAAGTTTGGACCGATTGCAACTGTGGCAAATGGAAAAAGTTTCGATGCATTTTAAGGACATGTTTATTTGAATAGATCGGAAAATCGTCCACGCAATCTGGCGTAAAAGTTGCTTTTGAATTTTTGCGTTCGCTGATTTTCAATTTCGATTCTGGAAAACTCCTTCGCCCCATAAAAACGAAACTGTGTCCCTCTGCTGCCTAGATGGAACTATAAAAGACTGGGCCGTAGTTTTCCAACGGGACAGACCCGAATTTGGCCGGGAAATGAGAACGTGAAATGGAAAATTGATTGCTTGCTCCCTACATGCCGTTGGATGGTTTGTTGCCGAGGCCGTTTTTCTGCTGTGCGTATATTTTGGAACTTTTATGAACAGTTTAACTATTCGGCTTCAGGGTGTTTAAATTCCTCCGAATTACAGTTGGCCCATCAAGCTGGCCAGGTAAATTGTTTTCAGGCTGATGGTGCATTAAGAGGGCAACAACCAACATCAGCAGCGACACACCAGGAATAATTAATCAGGTCGGCTGCATGTCTTTGTTGTGATTATTGGTGCTGGAAGAACAATGACCGAATTCAATGAATGAAATCGGAAATTTTCCACGGACGTTTCAGTGTATTAAACCCTGCTAATGATGGTAGTCCAGAGGTTCTTCACACCAGTGGTCACCCACATGCGGTACCACGCTTTTCAGACGTCCTAATTGGTCCGAAATGGCGTCATTTTCGTAACCAGTTCATGGGCACTCGGAAAAAAATTGATTAACTTGAAAAAATTGCTAACTTTTAGCTCTCCCTTGTATGTAAACCAACAGAGTCTGGCTCCCTAGGTAAGGGCGGCCATTTTCATCAGTTTTCCCTAGAGTTTCCTTTGCAATTACCCGGGGAAGATTAGCACGCATAAAATTAATGCTGAATTTCCACTCGACACGAACACATGTTAAATAAACCATCAACCATATCGCTCTCGTCTTCTTCGCAAAGTTCTACATGTTATGCGACGTACGAACCGGAGACAGACGTTACGCAAGAGGCCTCCGGAATATTACATGGCCGCCATATAGAAATTTCCCTCAAAGTTTCTTTGAATATTAATTATGTGGTTGTTTTAGTTCGTGTCGTGCTGCGTTCGCAGTTTCAGTGTCGAAAAATTGTGAATCTTCTTAAATGCGCGTTTAGTGATGATGAGCATTTTGCGACAAATAATACCGGTTAAGGCGTAAACTTTAATTACTTACTTTACCAAATATTTTAAGCCGATGGAACATATTCGATTACTTTTGCGTTGAATCTTTCACGTCCAATACGCTTGAATCACAGTGCACAATAACAGATTATATATAAGTTCTATATTGTTGAGGCGGATTTATTTTTTTACAAACTTCTTGTTGGGTATTTCGCCTGAAAAATGTTTGTCTTTAAAAAAGACAGAATTTCCTCACGTCTTTTATTACAGATTGATAAATAGTGCTCCCATTTCGCAATAAGAACAAATTATTTAAAAAAATGTAATCAAGAACTATCACCTAGAGGGTATCCTGCGACACACTTAGGCTCAAGCTGTAAGAGAAATTTCCAATTAGTAAAGAAATTAATTTGAATAAAAATTTAAAAAAATTAAATAAATTAAAGGTAATTTTTGAGGCGAAATACCCAACAAGAAGTTTGTAAAAATACAGATTATATACCCATATGCTCACCGTCTTTAGTTGAGAAAAATTCAATGTTTCAAAAAATAAACCTGAATACGGGAAAGTCTAGAACACGCTCATCTTCTGCCTCTCTAATTGCTCGAGGTCGATGCGGCAGCCATCCTTAAAGTTTAATCAGGATCATCTCGCGTTGCCAAAATCTCGTCAGATAAACTTGGAAATGTCGTCGATGTAAATTGCTCCGGCTCTGGCTTCTCTATCGATTTACCCAATCAACGTCTTCAAATCCGGGCACTTGATTTGTAATTAAGAGAATACTTCTTTTCCGACCGGAGGCTTTCAGAGTCAATCCACTTAAGTGGCCAGTATCTTTCCTGGAAAGGACATCTCTAATTTATTAACTAGATTGTCGATTCTTTTGGCAGGCTTTGGAAAAATCCAGCAATCTGACAATGGCAATCTCTTGTTTCAGGGTCTTCAAGTTGCTGCTCTACCCGGACCGATCGCTGTTTGCTGCCGATGTGATTTTCCAGTCCACCAATCGGGCCGAAGTAAAGTTCGATACTGGAGTGGCTTACACTGGAACACTTGAAGGTTAATATAGCAAATACACAAGCAACGAGCGTGAAATTACCCCAACTTATTGATGGAAAACGAAACACTTGTAAATTAATACCAGTTTCAGTAATTCGTAAAAGCGCACCACAGTGGAAAGCCTTTGCGGAAAGGATCGCTAACAATTAGAAAGGGCTCCGCACCCTGACACCGACGGACCTTCGCCAACTTTGCCCTAATCGCCCTTATTGTTCATCCAATTTATCTTTCCGATTCATAAATGCCAAGTCTGCTTTCGTTAATTGCGAATTCGGATAAATGACGATGCGATAAGGGATGTTTCGGGTCTTCTCGAAAAATATCCACGCATCGCAAGGGTGCTGTTTGAGCCATCAACTTTAAATAAGACACTCGGTATTGGAGAAAAATAATTTTAAAATTAAAAGTGAAGTTGAATAAATCAAGTTAAATTGAAATGCACAGTCAAATGGGGTGGCCCTAATGAGTTTAGTCTAATAGAGACCGGAATGGTTATAAATATCGGTGAAATGCGCGGGAAATTCACCCATTATTAATAAGCGTCGACGAGCAGTTTTTCCCGAAAGAAACATTTCCTCCCAGCTCCACTTTGCAGTTTTTTCAAGCAAAACCGCTTGCTAACACATTATGTCAACAGCGCCGCTCACGGCATATGAATCTGAATTGAGGCACAAAAGCTCAACTTTTAAAATTCCGTCACAAACACGAGCTTCTAAAAGAAGTTCCATTCGGGTAAACTATAAAGTTGTTAAGCTTTCGTATATGCAGGAAACAGCATGGGAACGATTGCTTTTGATGGTCTGAATGTGAAAAAGAAGTCCGATTTTCAATGGAAAGCTGCCCGAACGTGTAGTGGATTTTTGCAATATTTTTCCGTAAAAGCTTATGTCGTAAAGTAGCTGGAATCTAATTCACCTGCAAACTTTTACAGTGTTAGTTCAAAATACTTTAATTTTTGCTCTAAAATGTTATTTTTTATGTTATTGCCAGTTTTATCGGGAGTAGCCTGCAACGTTCTATTTTTTTAATATATGGTTAAATTCTAATGGAAGTTCTCTTAAAACTTGAAGGCAATTGAGGTTGAAAATGATCTTCGGATTTCCATTGTCTTACTAAAACGTTTCGGTTTGTACTATCTCCAACCGTTTTCAGGCGAATGTTGGAAAAAAATGCTGTTTTAGACCCAAATCTTTTCCATGGATGGCAAAAATTTCAAATAACCGCTTGCTTTAGTTTGGATGATGCGATGATGCGGTTTTGGGTAATTCGGCAAAAATCTGAATTTTGCGTGATTCTTATAAAACTTTCAGTGCCATTTCAGTCAAGTTTCTGCTACAGATGCTGATAATTTAAAATTTATTGTTGCTTCATTTTGGAAGAAACGAATTTTTATGTGCGAGAGCGCATTATAGACGTCGGTTTTAGACTGACTTTTACTAGTTCGACCAAAATTTGCTTCACTGGCGATTTTTATGAAACTCTAAAAAAAAACTCTTTTTTTGCGCAAAGTGTCTTCTAACGATCGCAAAACTTTCAAGTTGCTGTTTGTTTATATTGATTTATTTTGTTTAATGTTTCACACAACTTGTTATTCTGAAATTGTACGTTTTTGGCCATATTTACGTAATTTATTATTTTTATCGATGAAAAAATCACGTTATTTCTACGTCCGTTGAACCTAGACAGTGTCCACCAACGAACCTTTGAGAAGCAACACTTGACTTAACGTGTTTTATTTTTATCTTTCAAGTGAATATTTAAATATCAAAATCTTTCCAATATTTGGCTTCGGTTTACCGTATTTCCTTACGTTATCATCCAAAAGATGGTTAGTTGCATTGGAAGTAATCAGAATAAGAAGAACTGGGCACATTTTGGTAAATAGCTGAAGTAAATTTTCTTTTAACACCCAAATCGCGTATGCAGCGGCGGTCAATCTAGAAAAACGTACAAATTGAGCCCCAATAAAACGCGAACGTGCCGTTGCTTTAAGCGTTATCCTTCGGGCTGTTTTACGATAATTCCAGCTATTAGCGTTTTACGGTAAAAGAAAAGTAGCAAGCCACTATGTTAGATGGCTTTGTCGCAGGCAGGCATTCACTAAGCAGGGAAGGACTTGGGACCATTAAACATAAAAAAAATGCATCTGAAAAACCTTCTTTGGCTGATAATTTCAAAGAATCAGCAATCAATAAATAGGGTTCTATCCGGGTTAGCGGAATTTGATCTCATTTTAGTCCGACGTATTTCCAAGTTGCATTAAAATTGCAAAAGCGACTAAAATTCTTCTTCTATTATCTGCAGGAAAACTTTACGATAAGCCACTGGTTTTAGTTGCGTTATTCATTAAAATAATTGCGGGAAATGTTAGCCATTTATCAGCGTTTTAATTTATTAATTGTACCATTAGAGTATCGATCAAGATGCACAGGCTGGGGGGCGATAACAAATCATTAATAAAGTAATTTTTCCGAGCCGACCGGGAAAATCATGCACAACAATCACACCGCCGTTCCGATCACATATTTTCACATCATCGGACATTAATTTCGCTCGAATGGCCTTTCAATTTCCTCGCAAAATCCATCAACGCGCCGGAAAACTAATTAATGGAATTAATTTTCCGGATCCGATGAAAAACTTCAAGCAGAATTTTCATTGGATGAGACAACAGATAATGGGAGCGAAGTGCCGGAAATTGTTTGTCTAATAATGTTTTTATCAAACTCGCTCTAGTTTTTGAGGGTTGATTTTTAAAATCTCTGTGAATTTTCAGATCGGTTTTAATTAAATGCCGCTGTCAAAGAAAAACTCTGTTCAGAAAAATGAGCGTCCCCAGGTCTTCCCGTTCAAAGATAAACGTATTATAAAAATTTTCCAAATACTTTTAGTAGAAATTTAATTTCGGCATCCCTTTTAATGAGGAGCATCGGCTTTTAACCGCAAAAAGAACCAGATTTCAACCAGTTTTGATCTATACATTTTGCTTTCGTCCAGCTTAGTCTTCGGGAAAACTCTTAAAACTTGGATATTCCTGATAAGGGGCTTATGGGTGTATACAGGCTGGAAAGTTGCCTTAAAGCAAAGCTAAAATGCATCAGGATCAATATTGCTTCTAAACCGAATTCTGAGGGCAAGTGTTGGGAACAAAGGAGTCAAGACAATTGCTGCAGAAATAATTGTCCAAAGCTAAGCTTCTTAGTTAGAAACAGTCAAATTTCCACGAGCACTATTTCCATGAATTATCAAGCAGTCCCTCACATTTGCATGTTTTATCGAGCAGCACAAAATAGCAAAGTTATCGCAAAAACACCAGATGAAAAACCGTCCATAGAGCTGCAATTGAATGGAAAAAGCTAGAATTAACATCGACTGGCTAATAATCGGGTCATATATCGTCCTGACGGGGCTTTTCAAAATCTCATTAGCTAAGTGAACTGAAACATCATTGAAAATCGATACGGAACGAGGCCGAAAATAATCTGTGCGGAGAAAATTGGCCTTTTAACAAGTTATACATAAACTATGAAACAGGCGGCAAAAGCCGCCTAATTTGACACATAAAGGGCGTTTTTCGTGTTAATGCGAAAAAGTTGTTAAAGTGGCCGACAGGATTAGCCTAAAACATATCACAAGGGTTTTAATTAATTCTTGCATAATTTATTGATGTATGACACACGTTTTTTTACTATTTTTCCTTCCAGTCAATCCAAAGGCGTTTGGCTGATACGATTTAGCAAAAGAAATTGCCTGTTGGTTACTGTTGAGTGTTTCAAAGGTTTTCGGGATAATTTTCCAACAAAATATGACTCAGTTTTGGCGTCAAAGTGAGGATTGAAAAAATATCCTTTGCAACTCAACTTAAAATGGGTTCTTTGACGTGGCACATGTCCTAAACGGGTTTCTTTCTGTTGGCACGCAATAGCTAATCTTCCGGCTATAAAAAATGCAAAGTTTTACCGGCCGCAATGGCCTGGAAACGCGAATGGGGACGTAAACCGAGAAAAAGACAAACCGCCCGACAAAAACTTGTTTGCCGCACATTTCTTACCGCATCAAGGTTTTTGAGTCTTGAGAAACATATCATAAAATACTGTAAATAATTCCGGTGAAACTGTCGAAGAGACTGCGGCGATATCGAGCAGCCAGCGCACAATTTATGTGCACCCAGTTCAGTTCGAAGGCGAATTTATTGTTAAATAACCGCTGCGAAAATACGGGCTTTCCCATTCTTAACTGCCCAGCAAATCGAACAAGGAAATCAATCAGTGGTGATTGTAATTGCCGCGATTTTCCAGCAGAAACTAGAACAGGAGCTTTATTGGGAACTGCATCTTCAAAAACACCGTGAATTGAAAACCAATGCTGAATTTCTAGCACGTTATCTATTATTTTCCGGAACAAAGTTATCTGGGAAAATGTATGTATATTAGCCAAACGTGCATCAGCTCTTTTCCCTCAGCTCCGCTGAGCTTCCAGATCAGTTTTTCCGCTTTTTCGCCGAAGCAAATTGCGAAAAATAATACAACCAAAACTGAAAACGTTGGCTTATTAACTCTGATCCGTGAAAGACCTTACAAAGATAAACACAAAGTAAAGCGGAGTAAACCGGCTGGTTTTTTCGCTTTTCCGATAAATCCCCTAGCTGACGACACTTTGAGAACCTAACCCTCTAGTTTAAAAAGTTATTTCCACTCGAGCGAGCCCTCGTGGAAACTTAACAGCGCCATATTTTCCTTTCTCATACTCGAAAGCTTTTAACGGAACTTTGATTATTCAAGATGTGGGGATTTTTTTTCAGTTGTTTGCCGATCACACGCAGAACGAATTAATATTTGCTCTTTGTTCGCGCTTAACCGGATTATTTGGGTCTTTGTGTTCCTTTTTCGTCTTGATCCCGGTGTCTATTTCTTTGTTAGGTAATCGATAGTTCTTTTGTTTATTTTTTAGTAATTAGTGTTTTGAAGTATTTTGTAACAATAATTTTGTTAAGTGAATTT